CGGTGTCGGAAGGGTCAGTTGTAAGAGAGAGTGGCGCAGTTTGGTCTGGGTGGGAGAGAAACACTAGGTTGTAGATAGCGTTTCTGAGCTTCTCGAAGGTCAGTTTGATGTCGTCTGGAGAGAGGAAAGTGTATTGCTTGCCGTGAAGCAAGCCAGTCATTGATTACATTATGCTTGAGCAGTTAAGAATGAAATGCCGATTGTAGTTGACAAGGCCAGGAAATCGTGGGAGCCGTTTGAATGATCTAGGAGCAGGACAGTCCTTTAGTGCTCGGATTTTGTCTGGCAGAGCTTCAATATTGATAGCAGATATCTTGTGGCCAAAGAAGTCGATGGTGTTTTGCCAAGCCCGCATTTGTCGGGTTTGACAGTAACCGCATGTTGCATCAATCGTTGGAAAAGAGTATCATGATGACAAAGGGATATATTGTTAGAGGAGCTGGCGATGAGTATAACAATTCAGTATGGATAAACACTGGGTCCACGTGTTACCACTTGAATCAATCGCTGAGAGGTTTGAGCAGCGTTACAGAGGCCGAAGGACATTCTCAGGTACTCATTTAGACCAAACGGTGTAATAACCGCCGTTTTAAGAACGTCGTCTAGCGCTACCCATGTTTGATGATAGGCGCGAACTAGGCCGATCTCACTAAAGACTGACTTACGAGCTAGGGCCGAGGTTAACTCGTGCATGTGCAGAATTGGGTCTCTATCCGGGACATTAACTTTGCTGAGTGCCCTGTAGTCACTACAGGGACGCCAGTCGCCGGATTTCTTTGGTACCATGTACAATGGTGATGCTCAAGGACTCTTGGACGGCGGATTATTTCAAGTTCGGGCATTTACACGAACTCCGCCTTAGCCGCTAGTTTAGGAGGGCGGGATGGAACAAGTGGACCCTTATTGCAGGTGTGATGCATGACGTTTGACGTCTCTGGAAGTAAGGCATTATGAGTGTGAATGAGCGTAGGATGATGGTTATACAGATCTGGAATAGGCTGTGAAGCTTGTGGCAGGACACGAATGGGGGTGCTCGCAGCCACGTTGGTGCTAGTCTGATAACGCCGAGGTGTGTTCGAGGGTAGATAAACTTCTGCCTTTTAACATCGACGATAAGATCAGAATGTTGGAGAAAGTTTGTACCTATGATAACAAAAGGCGTGGCTGCTACGATGTAAGGCCGGCGAAAGGTTCGCCGGAGGCCTAGATTGAGCGTTAGCAGATTCATGCCGAAAGTTGTGCTTGGTGTGCCATTGGTGTCATGTAGTATGATCGGCGAGGTTGAGACCATCTCAACTGAGCTGTTGGGTATGACGCTAACTTCGGCCCCGGTGTCCACTAGGAACTCGGTACCTAGCACGGATGAGGCGAATTTGGTGTTGGCCGGTCGCGTCCGTCACCATTGTGGACAGGCCGAGAAGCTTCCCTGCTTTTCTTCGAAGGTGCGATGCCTGACACACTCACGAGCTGCGGTACCAAAGCCTTAATGATACCAACAGTAAGAGCGTTTGTTGACAGAGAGAGATTTTGGTCGGGTGGGACGGCGACGGCCCATAGTGAGCTGTTATACTTGGCGACTAAGGGTCGCGACTTGTACATGTAGAGCTTCAGCAGTTTGTAAGTCGGTGACATAAGTGCCTTGGGACGCGACGGGAGTTATTTGTTGGCGTCGGCTTGGGGTTGGGATTAGTAATCCACTCAGTCTGTCAGATTAGCTAGCTCCATGAGCGATACGGAACTCACGATTGCGAGAATCGTTTGTATATTTTCTGGTAGCCGCTGTAGTCACTGTTCACGGAGTAGAGCCTCATCCATGATCATCCATGACCGTTGCATCTCTCGTATCAGTACATATCCTTGGGGAGATATAACATGCGCATGCTGTACTTAGCGATGTCTGTGGTGATTCTGTGGTTATGAAACTCTGCTCCAGTGCTCACTCTTCAAGATACACAGTTTGAACAAGTGGGCAACTTTGTTTACCTGGGAAGCTGTGTCTTTGCTGATGGCAGCATTGGAAAAGAGATTTCTCTCCGCATTGTCAAAGCTCGTTCGGCATTCACCAACTTAAGGCATCTGTGGCGACGCCGTGACGTTTCACTATTGGTAAAGGGCAGGGTCTACAATGCCTGTGTTCGCGCGGTGCTGCTGTATGGGTGACTCTTCGCCGATTCGTGTGAATGACGCGTCGGACTTCGGCCCTTGACAGTTGATGTCTGCGGGAATAGCCCGAGTGTGGTGGATGAACCACTTGCGCAACGATGATAGACGTCGCGTCTTGGGTAACACGGGACCTGCACTTGACAGACTGATACCGCTGCGCCAACTGAGTTGGCTGGGTTACGTTTTATGCATGCACGAACGGCTGCCCCGAAGAGCTCTCTTCGCTCGCACAGGATCAGGCTGGAAGAAATCGGCGCGGTGCTCAGCCTATCAAGTGGCGACAAACGATTGAAACGCAGAATTCCGGTTTGGATGTCGCAGGTTTAGAGCGTCTTCCCTGCTGGGGGATCAATGATGAAGAACACCGATGGTTGAAAACACTTAGAGATGGCGCAGAACCGGTGCCAATGGAAGATATGTATAAATGTTTGTCTTGATTTGCTTGTTCTATGCCGCAAATATCAGCAGAACAAAAAAGATGAAACGACGTGTTTAAAGCAACCAAAAATAACAAGCTACAAAAACAAAAAAACGTCTTCGTAACTGTCATAGTTTTCATCGTGGCCTCTGTATTTATTACATCCGTTCCATGGTTTTCGCTGACTCTATCTCTATCTTATGGACTGCTGATTATATATATATATATATATATATATATATATATATATATATATATATATATATACATATATAAATGGTTGGCGGCATCCAGTTTCGGATTTGGCTGGTCACTGTGGCCAGCAACAGGACGCCTGCGCCTACAGAGGGACCATGGGTGGCTTGCGCTACACCACCCACAGCTCCATCCACACACCCCATATCCAGTGTAAACCCGAAGGAATAAGACCTGGAGGCATGTGGATCGGAGCCATGTTTCATCAATGAAGCCGGTCCACACTCCACAGGCAAACACATGCACGCTGTAGTTGAGGAATCAGGCGCTTTGCATTAATCCTTTTTCAGAAACAAACATGGACGCAATTTCTCATTAGTTAACACAAAATACTCAGAATCGTTCTGCTATTTTTTCCTGTCATTGATGCAGGATATCTCATAATCACGTGACAGATGGTTGGGCCAAGAAAAAAATGAAATGAAAGGGGCTGTTGTCAGAAATGTTATATGTATATCTTTCGAAACTATTCAGGCACAATTGATGCCGTTTTCCAACGCGTTATCTAGAGACTGTGATATCCCGAACGGGCAGGTGAACCGGTAGATTAACATTGATTGGAGATGATCAGGCACTCGGTCTTTGAATCTCGGAACTAGTAAAGGTCTGCTCGTGAAAATCACATTCAGCTGAGCCGCATTAAAGGTCTTTTTGCAGCTTTGCTGTGGTCGACGGGTGCATGTCTCAGCCGCACTATTTCCTTTGAATGGGTGTCAGCTAAAGCTGTTTCTTTTCAACGGGTTATTTTGATACTTTTGGTATGCATCGCCTCATATGGGTCACGATAAATCCCTCCGGATATCCATTTTCGTGAAGCGTTTCTTTGATTCGTACGATTTCGGCTTTTATGGCCTTTGCGGGGCCAGGTACATTGGACGGACGACCAGGCATTTAGGTAAGAGAATTAAGGAACACCTCCCATGTTGGCTCTACATTCGCGAGAATAAGAGAAACTGCAGCGCGATTACAAACCATCTAGTCAACACAGACCACCAGATAAACAAACGAACATCCTTTCAGATTCTATACAAACTATCACCAAGGCAAAACCATCGTGTAAGAGCAAGGTTACTTGCAATCGCTGAGGCAGTATGCATACGCCTAACAAATCCGGACTTGTGTGTCCATACGAAGCTGATACAAGCACTACAACTTCCCTGGCCGACCACCAGCGAGGAAGGATGTGATGGTACTCCGCAACTCCACCTGACTTCAGTCATGTTATCAGATGACTGCCATCATGATCACATGCTAAATTTTCTGATCAATTGTTTCTTTGTTATACTGACGATTGCAACAGACCTTACCCTAATGTATATTATTGTATAAGCCTGAAGAAGAATTAATCGAAAATTATTGTTCGCTTAAAGCTTCGTGTTTTGTTTATCTTTCTGAACTTGACGACACAAGGAAACTGTTTCTGCGTCGGCACCTTATCTTCATATGCTATCCGCATATTTGTGACTTTGGTAGTTATGGCTGCTACGGTTCTGTATTTTTGCATCGGGCTTTTATGCCATGTTTTTCTCCATTCTCCTGTTTTACTAATGGTGCTTTTATGGTTTATGGAAGTCGAACGCTGCTACTGCGTATTTTCATACTGCTGCTGGTCGCCATGTGAATCAGTCTATGAGCAGCTACCGCATCACCTTACCGATCAGGCTTAAACATGAGTAGCGATCTGACACAAGTTTTTCTCACCCTATAGTCTGGCTACACGATGTCTGATTTTCTAAGTGCTCAATGTGCTGTTGTTGTTTCCTTGAACTGCTTTCGATGTCTTAATTCGCGGTCACTTTAACCGACCCAGTCGTTAGCCTAATCTGCTGGTTTTTTTACCTCTTAACTTGAGGTACAGGTACTGAGCATTTTCTGTGCTCGGACCTACTATTAACGCTGACTATGCATTGGTGCTTTCATTTCGGTGAAAGTAAGATAAGATGTACTGGAGATGTTTTTCTGCTCAATCTGTAAGCTACTTGAATGCGTGCACGCAATGCACACATCACAGTACTTGTCGATGTCTTGTCTAACTGGTTACATAAAGGCCAGTCTGACAGAAAGCCGTCATAAGGCAGATGAGGATTTCTAGGAATGAGATGCCTCTATTCTTCAGGCACATGAGGGATTGGAGGATTCATGATTCTTTATTTTAATCGCTTAGATTTGGAAGTCACGGCTTCCCATCCTCCTCTTCATTATATCCGAGATGGATCAGCCGATGCTCTCCAACTTAATTCGCAACGATCTCAGCCGCCTTCCCGGGCTAGAACGTTCAATGCTCCCAGCACACATCTACATAGCTCACTGGATTTCGCTCGGACGTCAGCTACTATAGCCACTTTCCATCCCAGCGATGTTTCTTTGGGCACTGCTCAACGAACTTTCTTGCCTGGCCTAACAGAACAAGAGAGTTATTATAACTCATTGGCTGATACGCTCAACTCGGTCTGTGCCACCTCATCAGCTGTTCAGCGATTTCAAGGGGTATCTTCTGCTCCTGAGGTATCAGATAGCTTGAAGTTGCGCCCTGATCCGAATTCGTCAATGGCACATGCGAAATCCTGGTCGCTGGACACTGCCAGGCTACATCTGACTTCCGGAGTGAGTCTAACGATGTGCTGAATGTATTGTTTTGGGAGACTTGCTAATGCCTCCCTTGTATGTTCCGGGCACAAGTGCCCTGGCTGCTTGTGTGCAGGAGTCGCTGATGTGTTGCCTAGCCCCGACGCCTGACCATCCTCATTCATGTTGTTATTAAATGCCCAAGCCGCCACGCGACCTTCAGCTTCAGAGACGGTTTTATACAACTCACTTATTTGTATGGACCGCAGACAATCAATCTACTTCAACAGTACGACACCAGACTCATTTTCTTTTCTCTATGTTGCCCATTGTGCTCTTGTTTCTTCACAATAACTTCATCACATTATCAGCGTTATTCTTTTCCTTTGCTCCTAAACGTGCCGCTGAGGTTTTTTGCTGACGGATGATCTACACAACAAAATTCTCGCAGCTATCCTATTTTGCACAATTTCCAGTTTATCATCCTCTTTTACCTCTTCATTGTCACACGAATTTTCCCAGTTTTCTAATCCCATAAGTTAGTATCCATTTGAGCGCAGCTACCCACCTCCGAAACTTATAAGTGGTCTTTGCTCATCCACGCTGTCGCGACCAACTAAGACTCCGCTTCTGTCAATTATTTATCACAATGGACGTTTACTGCTGACATGCTACTCACATCGCCTACTCCAGTTACTCCCCGGACAGTACATATTCTAGCTCACCGTTGAGCAATTTCCAGATTTTATCTAACAGCCTGAGCTGCAGTTGTCGTATATTTATACGCACAGCTACAGAACCACGTTTTTCGACTTCCGCTACCTCGATTTCCGTTCATATTGTTTTGCGTTCATGTCCTGCTTAAAGCTAGGCCTACAGAGCTCAGCCAATGACATTACTTATCACTTCAGTCGTTGGTGTTTCCGTGCCTCTCTCCATACACATGTGTTTTTCCTTTTTATTCTAGACCTCAAATGATGTATGGAGCCGCCAAATTCCCAGCGTGCCCACAGTGCCCGAAAAGCTTGGTACGTGCTGCCTAACTGCATACGTTCCTACTGGAGCCACTTGACGTAAATGCTACTGAAATGTTATGTTGACTTTCCGAGTTATTCACGTGTTTGCAATTTCAAAGCGATACTGCAACACACATAGAAAACCAGTACAACAACGCCGTTCAACAGCTATTTCTAAGCTTTTCTGTGAGTGTGATTTCCAACCACACAGTATGTAAGGTGTCGTTCATAGGCCTAAAAATATTATGAAGCTGTCACAAAAAGATGCTTTGTATATATGATGGATAATATCAGCCACCAACTTTACGGATCACTGAATGAATTTCCAAACAATAGACAGTGTGTTAGGTGTTGGAGGGCATGCTATCTTCATAACTAAGCCAACAGGTGTGTTTCATTTGTAATACGGTGGTCCAGAACGGCACTAGAGGGACTGATGCGAGGTCCGCGATGGCGTACATTAGTGATTCGGTGCAGGAGGACAGTACTTACTTTGCCTCTATATACGCAACGTCCGCGATCAACGGAAGTTATGTTCTGGTATGATAGGAGTCGTGAATTCGTGATGGTACTCCCATCCTTCTCCATAGTTGCAGTAATCGCAGCTGCCACATGACCGTCGCTGTTAGCCTAGTTGCTAAGACAGGTAAACTAATTGACCATCTCTGACGTCAAATGTCGCGCATTCTACTGCTAGCTGCGCAACAGCGCTTTGCACTTTGAGAAAGAAAAACAAAGCATTGACAGCTGGGCGAGAAAGCTGAGTGCCAACGCCCGCGCATTTGTCACCTATCGTGTGTGGGAAAGTCCTTGCGAGCGTGTTAGCAGGACCCAGCCGAGAGCTGATGAGATCGCGCGTCAGACATCACGCGTGTTACAGTGCATTGCGTAGGCGGACGAAGACTGGAATGCGTGAGCAACACGGCGAACGAGATAGATGGAACGGACAAGTATGTGTGGAGCGTGGGCGTATAGTAAAATCCGCATTGTGATACCGACTTATAAATATGAGCTTTCTTTGCCTTAATAGAACTCTGGTCTGCTGAGTAGTCTTCTGTCTCCGTTCCGGTCGGGTTTTCCAAGCGTCAAACAGAGCAGGCGTAAGGGCGCAGATTTCGCAGCAGGCGTAAATCAGTCCAGTCGAGAGCGAGCAGGGCACAGCGTTATAACAAGCATGCAACCATTCTGTAGCTTGGCTGTACTGTGTTACCATTGCCAAACAGCAAGACGATATCACCTGCACAGTCTCGATTAGCCGATGTTTTTTTGGACTACACCTCAACACCTAAAAGGGAAAATCCCTCGGTGGGGAGATTCCGCGGGCAATTCTGCGATAAAGCTTGACAGTGTGATGAAATTGGTTAGCCCTGGCGAACGTCAGGAGGGCTTTCAACGACTCATCTTAGACGCCGATGGAATCTGTGCTTTTTGGGAACCCGGGTTTTCTGAAGCTCCTTTCAAACTTATGTATACCTAACAAAACGAGGTGATCGATAACCTCCACTTCCGGCGTTGAAACAGAGGTAAGGACACCCATTACGACCGATTTTGAGCCAAAGGCCTTGGTCTCGTACCCTAATTATTATCTAGCCTAAGTTCGGACGCCTGGCTGTATCTCAGCTCGCTTGCAGCTGTGGATTTATCGTTAACCTTCAACCACGTCCTGCATCAACTGTTGCGCAGTTTCAAACTAACTCGCCTTGTGCATGCAACGGGGCGGCTTGGTGGTAAAATGTTTCTTCCGCTGTTTTCTTTTCCTTCTTTCCATCTGTTTCTCTTGCACCTTTTCCGATTCCCCTTGCTAACCTTTCTGCGCACTTGACAGTAGCACTTGTGCGGGTGAAGTTATTTCGCTTTGAGCTTATTCCAACTGTACTACACTTATTGGATTGTTGTCATTATCAGCCCTTTATCCTGCCTCGTCGTCGTCGTGCTTCTGGCGGCCTTCTACGTTCGTACCGCAGGATAGATATTTCATCAGTCTACACTCACGTCGTTCATTCGATAGGTGGGCGTTCTGTAGCATATCCGGGACTATGGTTCTTGATCATCACACAGTCATCGAGCTAACTTCACCTACAGCCAAAGCACTATTCACAGTTCAGTCTAGAGTAGGTAGCGCCCTGAGACCGAATCGTCGTTGACTGATTGGACTCCGTTGGACAGCAGTCTATGCGTAACTGTTTGGTAACCCCAACTAAGGTCGACGGACGGAACAGCGTTAGATGCTGTTTATTCGTAGCTGCTGCCTGGACTGCAACCGCTTACAGTCGTGGTATTGCTAACTATGAAATCTGCATCTCCGTGCCCCCAGTCAGGCTTACTCTTGGTAGTTAGGCATAGGAATGTGCAAATATATGTACAGTCCAATCACCTATGGGGACCATCAGTTTATAGCGACCACCTGTCTATGGGGACCAGTCAAAAACATCCCTAACATCTTCCCTATATTTTCTCATTGGTCTTAACCTGTGTATCGCGTCCACCAGTCTAACGCAAATGCGACCACGTTTTTGTGGTCCTCAGATGTTCTAGCACCCGTAAAAGGCGACCATCAATAACACGACCGACTGAGACTTCGTCTTGAGGTGTCACCAAAATCTGCCACTATCGCACTGATGGCTTGGGTTTCATCTCGAATTGTCCTAATTGGCCGCTCGTTTTGCTTATCTTGTCTTGGTAAGCAAGACTAAACACTAACAATGCAGTGGCGAATTACCTGTCCGCGCGTTTAACTGGGTACCTAATGAGTCTGTAATTTGTCCACAAAACTACGCGTTATCAGCAATGCTTTGGGGAAACTGTGTGCTGTTATCTAGTCATGCGAGTATTCGGTCCGTATAAAATACAGGAGAAACTACAGCATTCTGTGCCCACCAGCTAAGCCTCGATTTTTTAGAATCATCAGCATGAATAAACTACAGGTAGTTTACAAGAATAATAAAATGGCATGGATAACTGCAGCTATTTTCCAAGATTCGCTTAAAAGCTTCGCCAGAACGATGCAGCTAAGAAAGGGCAACATCATTTGTTTGTTTACAGTGCCTTTTGTCATCCAGAAATCCAGCTAAATAATATCAAACTGCGGTTATCGCCACCTAATAATACTGCGTTAGTTCAACCCCTGTACCAGGATGTCATTCAGGCACTTCAATTTAAGCTCAGGAAAAATCAGATTCTACATCTTATTACGATTATGGAATCACCCAAAGATATGTCCAGAACTGAACTCGTGAAACAAGTTAATTTTATTGGATATCGTGTTCTGGATCGCCGCTGCATGGAAGGAGGTGGAGTACTCAACAATCTCTACATGATTTTGTAGAACAGTTTTCCCTTGTCCTCCAGACATGGATTCTGAGACAGCGATGCAAGTCGGAGGTGAGGTAGGCGACTAAATGCCACCTTCTACAACCTCTATTGCATTGGATAATCGTTCAAAGAACTTGTTTGTATGCAAACTGACTGACAGGTCCATGGTTGATTCTACTCTCCAAACTTGTACCACAACAGAGGCAAACTGGAACATTCCTGCCACTTCAATTTCAGTGAATCAGACTACAAGCAGGAACTAGACTATACAAACGTTCTGACCAAGTACACATTCACAGACGCACAGGGTGCTGTTGCTAATTTGTGCTCTTACGCAATAAATAGCAGATGCACTGCCGTACTTGAATCTACCATGAACGTGGTGGAAAAACTGAATTCATCTTTTATTTCGACTGTAAAGCAACAGACTTCTGTAATGTTCTTTTATATGGTGTAAAATGATTCGGACAACAGAAGAGTACGAGTATGATTGTTCTAAAACTTGTGGATTACGCTTGTGTGTAAGTTGGTTTATCAAATGTTTAGTCATACACTAAATTTGTTAAATTTTTATCACATGTCCCATAGTATGCAATGCTACTGTTATTGCTTCAATTATAAGACAAAGTGATTGTAGTTGCCCGTGTATAGATCTAGTTCGCATTTGAAAGCGTAGTATGCATGTTATATCGATGAGGAGTAGTGTCCCTTAGGCATGGGCCTGTCCATGGGGACTACTTTCTGTCCGTCCCTTGAATGGTCGCCTTTATATATATATATATATATATATATATATAATGCTTTGAGTATTCTTTATGCGGGTCGCATGCGTGATTGCAAACGACTGCATGCGGTCCACGGACCACCAGTTTGATTTGTCTAGTGTAATATTCGTTCGGTTCGGAATTCCAGGTTCTTTCGTGGCTGACACATAGAGTTGGTTGCCGTAGACCTGATGATCTGCAATGGAAATCTGTTGGAACGTAAGTGGCTGGAAGTCAAAGTTTAACGACCTAGTAAGAACGAATCCTGAAGAATAACCTATCGAGTAACTGCTGACAAGCCGACACAGGAAGTGGCCGAATAGCCGAGAATAACCAAGCGCAGCATGAAGCGTCCGCAGTCAAGCTTACAATGGGCAGGAAAGCAGGGGTTCTGGGGAAAGTTAAAACAATACGAGCGCCACGTTAAACCTACCATGGGCTATGTATCCGCTTTGCAACAGGGGCTGGGACAGCGTCACTTACCGCAGGCCGATGGGAGTTGTGTTCCTCGCTTTTCAGAGCAAGTTTGATTAGACCGACCGATTGGTCCATTCTTTTCGACATATTTGACCGGAAGCGTGTTACTGCGAAATATATAAATATTTTACGTGCCCTGTATCCATACACTACAATTGGCCAGGCTTATCCCATTTTACCATTTTTCAACTTTATCGTGGTTCCATTATTAAGTGGTCTCTTGTGGAATCTCGCAGTGCAGGTATTATTGTGCCACCTATGGAAATCCTGGCTGGTTGAAATACACTAGTTGATTCTGCCTCGCTGGCTAAACTCTTGGATTAATCTCGCCCTCCTGTATTTACCTCGCACGTTCAAAGTGCAAAATGATATCATAGGGCCGCTAGTCACCTGATATCCCATTGCCTCTTGACGACGAGGATCTGGAAGTAGTTAATCCGTTCGACTACTTTGCCAGATGCATCGACGGCGATGGTAACATCATTGATGAAGATAATTTGCGTATTATGAAGCTATAAATGCATTTTCATGTCTGCCACACCTGTGGCTTCAGTAGGGTACTCGTCCTACCTGAGCTACCGGATCTACTGGACTACATTGAGTGCTGTTCTTTTGTGTGTTTGTCCCCCGTCATTTCCGTCTGTGGACTCGAAGCCTCTTACTGCATTTGATCATCCTTGTTTGCTGAAAATTGCTGGTGTCGGATAGCATCAGCATGTCCGCAGCAATTGTGTGCGCAGACGAATACTAGATGGTGACCATCAGGCTAGTCTATCAGTGCAGCAGATGACATTGGATAAGTTACCTTGGTTTGAGTACGTGCTTCATATCGGGTCGAGTCATTTTTGTTTGCCGGATGTTAGATGGCACAAGTTTCGGGAGTTAGAGCTGTTAGCAGTAGGATTCGATGTCGTTACATCGGGTGTTGGTCCTTCTCGCCTTCCAAACTGGAGCCCAAGTGAACTACCATGTGTCTGGATCCGAACCTTTAGGGACATGGCTCATAGCCTGCACTGGTTGCGTAATTGTTGTCCTCACCTATTCAGCTTGATTGCTCATGATGGCTGATGTTGGATTATCTATGTGACTAGGTTGGTTAAGATGACAGGTGGTGATAGCTGCAAGTAAACTGCCATGCCGATACCGCTTTATCTTCCCATACTAGCCAGGTGCTTGTGGGCGTGTTTTGTTAGCAATTTGCAGCTGTCTTACTCTCAGCCGCTTGCTAAAGACTTTTACTTCTTGCATTGGATTTCTCCGTTCTCTTGGTTATCATTACTTGGATCATTTTGGTTGGATGATAGCGAAGCAACTTTTCCGTTAACTAATGCACCCCCTGTTATTTATCATGAATATGACGGTAGCAATTGCTGTAGTTGAACGTGCTTTTAAAATAGAGGAACTGCTTGTGGTCGCATAGTGGCAAATTGTCATTACGACGTATCGGTACGCTGCTGTTATCCCTCTTTCCCCCTACCTTCTCTGTGGCAACAGAGGTTCCCAAGTGAACTTTCACAACTGTGTTTCTGGTCGAGTGCTACCGTGCATACTCAGGGCATGTAAGCATGTGTTTCCGTCCCAACATTCATTTCGCTGTCACAGTTGTCGCTGCGATACATCCAATAGAAAATTTCGATGAGAGTGGAGGGGAACCCGATAGGGTTAATTAAACGAGAACAAAAAATTGTGCTTACATGGTATACTATTTCAGCTATTTCATGGAACCATCGACACACTGGACTCTGTTTTAACCTCTTCACACGTGCGTAAGCCACATGGCTGTATTTCGCCTACATACAGCAACCACTAGGTAGGTCGCTCCGCCCGACATTGTCTCCGGCTGATTCACATTACCGTATCTTACTTTTGACCATCATTCTCTATGGTTTATTACCTTCGCCCTTACGTGTATCTTATCGGTGGAATGTGGGTTGTCCATTTAGCCGATTTCCCGGATTTCCCCGCTCTTCCTGATCCAACGCTGGATCGGGGCTGTTCTCCTCAGCCTGTCTCAATCCATCGCCCAGCACAATGCACGGGTGTGACGTGTTGTCTTCATCGACACTCGAAAGTGCCCGACACTGGGTCACGCGAAGGAAATGTTTCGGGTATTCTGCCTGTTTGTTCTGATATCTTCTCATCTCGGAATGCACGCAACGCTGCTGTCAATACTGTACCAGCCTTCGCCAAATTCGATGCGAACGATCACGAAGCAACACTCAAAGTGAAACTCAGCGATTTACCCTCGCGAGATCGAACTCTTAACGCGACTGAATTTCAATACCGGAGTTTAACAAAAAGGTCAGTAGTTATACGTGACTCAATCAATCGAACAATCGTTTGTTTGTTTGTTTGTCACACTTCCATCTGATGTAAAGCGACAAGTGAATGCTCAGGTATGATGATATTTATTCTCCTTTTCATCTAGAACTGGACGTAGGAAGTTCCCTCATATCATTTTTGCTTCCTTATTTCGTGCTTCACTCTGCTCCATGTACCTTGGCTACTGCACAGCTTCGCTAAACAGACCATGTGTTCATCCCCAACTTTCTTTCGGATGAAGAGCACCACATTCTGGTGGTGCATCGCGAAAATCACCGCTATGGTACCTGGGCCTGCGATTGTTGCGGCTACATGCGGCTACATCATGAAGCCACAGGCTGTGGATTTTTTCGTTCGCCTTCCACTGTTGATCTCACACTTGTTTGCACGAAGCAGCTTCATCCGTTTTGCAATAATCCCAGCCTATTTTTACAATTCTACTTCACTTTTCGGTTAGTGTGAGCATTGATCATATTTGTTGCAGTAACATTACAAGGCTTTTTGGTAAATACTTCTCTCTGTGATATTTTGACAGCTGCATCCGATCAAACTTATTTCCATTTTCGGCGCTACATTTCACTACTGACACTTGTTTTGCGCCCCCTGCCCCTCCTCACAGTAAGTCGAACAAACAGGAATTGAAGGACAGGCTTCCGGAAGCCGAATTGCCTCGCACTGGTGATGGAACCACTGGGTGAGTACAGGGGGAGTATCAATATTATGTCACATTATAGGAACTCTACATATTGTTTTTGTACTTCAAATATTGGAAGGATGTTATCTGTGTTATTTTAATGAAGTGCCACTACGTTTTGTTAATTGTTGAAAAACCACCGTATTGTGTCTCATTTATGGTTAAGAGCATTATAGATGGATCTTTCGTTCTAGAAGCCACGTGCATCTGTCTTCTGAACACATCGCTCTGCTCATCGATGCACATCGAATGCGTATCAATTCTTATTTGGTCTCACTTCAACTTTTATACGATGCAATCGCTGAAAAGCGTTTTGACATTGTTGATCCCTTGGTTGATCCACACCTTTAAGTGTTAACCAGACCGGCTTCCCTCTTGGATTTTCTTTCGATCACACGGGCTTGTCCCGATGCATTTATGTGTTGGCTATTCCGTTCAGTTAGATTCTAGCGTCAGAAATCCCACCACGGAAGTACGATGGTTTAGTTGCCAACTTCCGACATGTCACAACTAAACGTTACATTAGCGGGGGAAAATAAGAGTGAAAGACAATTCTATATATATATATATATATATATATATATATATATGGTGTGCACGAATAAATAAGCAAATAAATGGAGAACGGACTGATAACCGTTCTCATCATAAAGTAGTGAGGCTAGAAATTGCAAGTGTTAAGGGACACGAGCTCCCTTGTGTTGGCAACTTTACACTACAGTGAGAGTTATCTAACCACTTTTGCGGCCGCCAAAGACATCATTTTCATCAAAGCCAGTATTCGATAATCTGCCAAATCTTCAATTTAATCTCCGAACGCTCTTACCGTACATTCGGTTGGTTACCCAAAAGGATCACTCAACCGGTTAATTCTCGGCTAAGAGAACAAACCAACCTTGTTCGTCGTGTGATTCACCTTTCACCAATAAAGCACACCACTATCTGGAGCATGAGGTTGAGCCACTGCTACCTTCATGGTATCCTAAGGCCCATTTATGACGATGCCACCCTTTAAGGATATGTTAGGGAAGTTTCCCTCTGTTTTCAGGTCCCCATTCCTCAGCTCCAAGGTCCGTGTAATGGTCTGCTGGAAACTTCCCCCTACATTCTTCACAACAAGCGGCATATATCAGAGTTGCCCTTTCTTTCCCTTTTATTCAACTTTGCAATCGGAATGATCAGGAATGACTCTAGCTTACCTCTTTCCATTTTCGGGGTTGGGCTCCCGTTAGCTGATAAACTATCAAGCTTAGAGAGTGCGGACAACAATTCTTTTGCAATCGTACCAAGGTGCTGTGTGAGCTTTACCACATAGATTAACGCGTAGCTCTGCGCGCTTCGGCACGTGATGTGCATCGTCGAAGCACAATGTGCTACTACAGGACAAGGCCGAGACACTACCGCAGTCATGGAGTGGTCACTCGAAGTGCTCTTCCGCTTTCTTATTTACATATCACTGTCATGCGTAATATATCACTGATGAGGTTACCGCACTCATCTCTAGAACTCGTGCGGATTTCCATAACCTCATTCGCAGTTGAGCATAAGCTTATTGGTTGAGGGGAGGAAGGGTTTGCAACGCTGCGATTCCGTCGGTGCTACTGCGTGGGTCTGTTCATTTCAGTTGGGCAACTATTATCCGGGCACGAAAGTGCGGTGGATCCACATTTGTCACGACTCACTTCGTTAGAGTGACAGTAAATAAATGGCAACAAAATTAGGTTGAATGCAAATATACTACGAATAAAAAATATACCCAGAAGAGAACCGCTTGTAACTAATCGGGATGGAATGAAAACTCACAGCTAGATGCAAGAAACCGATAGCAACAGCTCAATTGACTGCGCGAATGTCTCATGTCCGATAGAGTCTCCAACCACTGATGTAAGCCATCCAGAAGATTCCATCCAGTAAGACAGCACGCAACAGCCTGACCAAGTCTCTAGGTCATCTTCTTTATGCTACATTGTTGATTGGCCATCTCGTGGTGCAGCGATGGCATACAATACAATTCAAACAAGGCGGTCAACTAAAATACGGATGAAATGACCTAGCCAAAGTACGCGGTTGAGTTTATGCAAACGCCCAGTCAGGCAACAGAAGGCTTTTGCAAAAACCAACCGGCAGACCTCATCCTTGCCTTCCAGGTGTTCTCACTAGATGTGATCAATACCACGCAAGCACCGGTAATCAAAGTTCACCAGTGCTTTAGTGTTATCGATGCGAACTAGCCTGGTCTCTGACCCATACAGTAATACCGGCTTTATTGCAACGTCATACACCCTATCCTTCATTGACAGGCTGATGTCCCGTTATCTCTATATCTGGTCTCTGAATAATCACAGGGCCTTGATGATACGCGAAGTAGCCTCCTCAGTGATCTAAACACCAGAGATGACAGCTATCAAGGTAAGTGAACCGATCCACCACTTTCAGTGGTTATTCGGTGATAGAGCCCGGAGAGGTGTCGGCCCAGTTCCTCAACTGTACTTTGCATTTTGAAAGTGCAAAGAACATTCCATTCGTGCATTGCTACCCGTCAATCTATTCAGTGGTGCTTGCCTAGCCACTGCGTCAGACCCAAAGAGAGATATGTCCGAATACTCAAGGTTTGCCAGTCGGTCACGTAGTAGGAATTCCACTGCGGAATAGTCTGAAAGAACCGTGTCATTCATGATCATTTTGATTACAAAATTGAAGAGGAAACGAGATACAGGATAACCCTGGTAAACCCCACCTGTCATGGAGAACTCAGGAGACAGTTTCTCATAGTTTCTTAGTTTTTAGAGCCACTGTAGGGAGACTGCATAATGGAAAGACATTTAACTGACACCCCCTTCATAGATAGGCTGTGCAACATGTTTGCGCGGCCGACAGAATTGAAGGCTGTCTACAAGTCAAGGAAAGCCACCATAATCGGTCGTCTGTATGTGTGTCTCTGCTCTGATACTTGGCGAATGGTAAATATGTGGTCAGTACAACTACGACCAGGGTGGAAGCCAGTCGGACTTTTAGTGTTTTGGTTCTCACGGGGTCCAGTAAGTCGTCGGAGAATGATACCCGTGAGAAGTTTGGAGGCAACGGAAATAAAGGTAATGCTTCGATGATTTTCGCACAAAGTACGCTGACCCTTCTTGAAGATGGGCACGCAGTTGTCAGTCGTTAGTCCGAAGGCACTTCTTCAGTGTCTCGACTTGTGTTAAATAGAGAAGCGAGTCCAGTCAACAAAGAGAGTCACCACCATCTTTCGGGAATGATGAAGCACTGCCGTTGGATCCACGAACTTAGTTTTGTTTCAGCACGGAAAGCTCATATCGATTCTCTTCGAATGTGGGAGGTGTGACATCTACTGCCTATGCGGCTCAGGTGATTTCGCAAGCTGCTGTGTCGCAGCAGACCTGCTGAATTGCTCTTCAATATGTTCCGCCCAACGGACTAGTCAACGCGGCTAAGGATGGATCAGCTGTCCATTTTTCTCAAGTCTCGTCTCACTAACTGGTGCTTTTCTCGGACCCGTGTTCCCGATGACCTGGAATACTACTCCGCTGTTCACAATAGCACTGGTTTTCTCCATCTCACCGGGCCCTTGCCACCAACTAACGTTCCCGGTCGATTCGAAGACTCCTTGTCAGACTTCGTTTCAGTGTTACGGCTACGCCAAAACTCAAAGCCCCATGTTGAGACAGCTGCTCCACTTGCGAACGATATGCGCCACACGCGGACACTAGTACAAGCTTGTGGTCTAGGATCTGAAGCGAGTTGCCCACCCACTGCTTCGTGCGACGAGTGGGCAGTGTTTGGAACTTATCGAAGCACATAGGCGGAATAAATTCCGAGCAACGATCAAAAATATTTAGATTGACATTTCTCTGCAGTTAGATTTAGAGAACGATAACCCAATGACAATGATATCTCACAACTGTTAGTTTTAAGTTGATTTGCGTCATACATTTTCAGATGATACACACGAACTTCAAGAAAAGTTGGCATATTAACAAATGGCTGGCATTTTTGGTCATGTTCCGATGGAATTGTGCATATTTCAATCTCTACTTTTTCGCACAATACAGTATGCATTGTTCAAAAGTGTTGAGTTATATTATCTGTAAATTCGTAACCAGGGAGTCGATTTGTCACCACGCTGTTGCCTTGTATGCAAATCCGTGGGACATCGTACACATCAATACCAGGAGAGTGCAAAGTGGGAGTTAGTGCAGCCTGTAGGCCGATCTGACCCAAAGTGCGGACGTTAAACAAACAAATGCTAAATGAGGCCCTCAGTTTGAGGGACGAGTTTTAGATATCTGCAGCATCTGTTACGAACTCAGTGGCAGTCCCTTAACCAATAGACGGTGAAGAGTTGCAGTAGAAGGGAAAAGCGACAAGAAAAGAAGTGTTGGCGTTCAGATCGATAGGGTAGGTGACTCTGGACGCCGATTTTGAGAGAGGAGTTTTGCTCGAGTTGCGCTACCTCTAGCCTTTGACTCAAGGGTCTGATCCACAAGGCAGTGGAGTACATGGAAGTTCGCTTGAGGGACTCTATCAGAAGCCTCTGGCTCAATATCTTGACCCACAAAACACTGGGAAGCAAGTCCAACTCGAAAGTGTGATTGCACAGACCCAACGGGATCTGCTTGAGGTTTTCCACACGCAATTTTTTGAATATTTAGAACGATTCACATATGCTTTTCGACCGTATTCCGTTTCGCAACTGCGGCCACGGCCAGCCGCTAGTGGGAGTTGGCGGGTTTACACCAATTTGACCAGTGGCTGTCTGATTTGAGGCAGGCACACTACTGAGCACCGGTCGGGGCCCTCACACCTTCAGAGACAATGCTTGGCGCTTGTGCTCTACGTCACTCGACATGTGTGCTTCTAACCCTTAGACCTGCTAGGTTTCAAGGGAAGTGGGTTATCGACCACCGGAGTATTGCGAAACTGGTTTCTTCTAATCAATAAACATTGTTCTGTTCGCTATGTGTGGCTCTGAAGGTACTTAGAAAGTGCCACCCAGGTTTACTCAGTGGGTCACGGAGGTAATCAAGACATCGCACCACCATATAATCCAGTCTCCTTTGCCAAGTCTGTTATGGCATATCCCGATCTGAATTCAGTTGGCTACTCTGTGCGTGTCGCACTGTCAGTGAAAAATCTCGTTTGCTCATACTAGGAATCCAAGCAACCGGGCCAGTCAATGTCATAGCAAAAGAGCATGAAAACACACCGAAAGGTTGTCTCGGATCGATCCTTTTCTCCCTCTTGCATGGGGATCTCAGAATCGGCCACATGGGTATTCAGGTGCTCTATCGGATTTGACACAGTCACCAGGTCAGTAGGGCTCTTGGATTCGATGACATTATTTCTAACTCATTCCCCTTTGATTTTTAAGGTTAGTGTTGTTGTGGCCATGGATTCACCTCACACGGGTGCACAGATCTCTGTTGGCGTACTGGACGGGTCGTATTTTTAGCCCTATCAGTCCGAGTCTTCTGCTTGTCACCTATGTCAGTATCGGTGAATGCTCCCTACGCATGACAAACGGTGTATAAGCCGAGAAGTTTTGGACAATTTTCCATGCCTGTAATGAAGGGTCGGCTTACACATATGTTATGCGTAATTTGAAAGTATCACTCGCAAAATCCACCCAGGAATTCACTGCACACCTCTGTACCCTATCTTACATTAGCACCACTCGCTAATGACAAACAGTATCCCAGGCGGGGATTTGAAGTGCCTATAGGTAGACACATTATGTTTGTGTCGAAAATTCTCGGTATATTGTGCACTTGACTTTCGCAACGGATGGCAGTAACATAAATATACTGATTATACAGAAGAGAACACTATCACACACAATAACTTTGGAAAAAGACCTGACAGAACAGCACGTACTGATGGATTTTATAGGCTCACATATCCAAACGCTGCACAATGGTATTAAAATTATTCGAATCCTTCGAAACTAGAATCCGATTCAGAATCCCCAGTTCCTTCTAATGGTCGTCTGTCATTGGGACGACAGGGTGAATATCATCATCCTCAATTGCACTGCTCTCGCCATTGTCGTATTCCTCAAAAATGGCATCGTCCTCACTTCCATCCATAGCATTACTGATGCAGCACTTTTTGAATGATCGTACGATAATTTCTGACGGAATATCCAGCCACACTTCTTTCACCCACTCTGCAATTGTAACAATGTCAACCTTTTTCACATTGCTACCCTTCGTCAACGCTAAATCAGATGATGCCATCCATTCATTCCACCTGGCCCGAAACCTATCTTTAAAGGGCTTATTGAGCCAGACATCCAATGGCTACAACATTGATGTAAGCCCACCGGGGATTAAAACCACGGACGAATTCAGTTCACAGCATTGTTTCTCCACGTTCTCAGTTCGGTGTGCCCTAAAGCAATTTCAAACCAGCACAGATGGTTTCTTTAAAAGGCTCCACTTCGTTTTCCCCAAACTGTATTCATCCATTCTATAGTGCCACTCTCGTCCATCCATCCTTTCTCCTGATCCCGCACAAACACGCAACTTGGGAACTTCGCTCCTTTTAGGCAGCGTCTTACGCTTAAAAACAACGAAAGTGATAAACGGGAACCATCCGCCACACACTCTAAAACAACTGTGAACCATGTCTTCTCGTGTTTCGTCGTCTTTACACAGCCTTTCTGCTCCACCGTGCGATTTGAAGGCATACAAAAACAAACTTGCGTCTCGTCCATATTTCTTATTTGGGACAATTCGAAGTTGTATTGCTTTCTCAGCTGCATCACGAACCTTTTAAAAAATTTTAACTTTCCTCTCCAATTCCCTCGGCAGTTTCTGGGATAGTTTTGTAGGGGTCCGTAGACACATGTGGAATCGGTACATAAGACGATTGCACTATCCGGAGGAAGCAACAAAATTCACCAGCGTTGATGGCTGGAATTCCAGACTTTTTAACATTGTGAGCACCCTAATCCGTATGTTCGTTCGGGTAACAGATAACCCGTTGTGCCGTGATTCCATAACCCACTGCGTTAACTTTTCCTCTAGTGCAGTAAACATGGTTGTTCTACCGAGTGCTGCTTTCTTGCCTATAGGCATTAGTGTCAACTCTGACTTTTCCTTTCGCCATTTTCTCACTTGCTTTTTATTCACCATGAAATGGATTAGATTGCTCGGCAAACGCGATAATTTTCAATTTAAAGCCAGCAGTACATGTCCAAATACTCTTCACATTTCCACGAGTTTGGAAGATTGCACGAAATGTGGGCACATTCCCTCTCAGCTGGATCGTGTGACGTCGCGTTAGCGCTATTTTGGTTAACGAATCACAGCGCTTATACATTATGCTATGCTAGTCAATCTGGTGCATTAAAACTCCAAAGTCACCCCACACCATTGATTGTGAACTGCCCTCCCACAATGTCGTGCAATGTCGTTCCACACCACTGATCGTGAACTTTCCTCTCACCCGCTGTTCCAGTGCGATTCAGATGCATGAGACTCCCGATTATGCGAGACAGTGTCTGACATATCCTTTCAACTTACCCCATATTGTCGGCTGTCTGATCTGCTTCATGTAACTTGACATGTAATTACTACATTGTCCACTGCGGTTGAAATTTTTGTTCTGACGGCTCCATGCCCCATTAACTGCGATCATAACACATTAGGTACCCATAACTGATCAGCACTAGAGCAGCTTTCACTTGAGCACACTCAAGTGAGAGCAGCTAGTGATGAATCAAGCGAAACCATTTCTTTACTCTTTTTGTTGGTTTTTTGGGGGTCGGCTAATATGCGGACTAACGGATTTGGACAAATTTGAAGTTGCAATGTCATAATGTCGGCTTGTACACGGTAATATACGGTACTCATCAAATGGAGTGCATAAACACACTCGTGGAAGGTGAACTTTAGATAATTTTTGCAAAAGACAATTCCCGTGAAACTGCTTTGTCAAAATGACCCTCTACTTTGCAACCGTAGAGTGATCTGCTTCTACGACCTTCTGACAACATCTCGGCTGCCGGTCTACTGTGTCAGCATATTTAGCTTTTCTGTACCTTGATCCTCGACCTCTGCATTGTTATTCATTAGAAAGCTGACCGTTGAAGCCAAACTCATTGAGGCTGTCATCCATCAACTGGAGCATGAGCTATTTAGATTACACACTTATCCTGCTCGACAGTCGACCCGCGTCTTTGACTCCGTCGCTTGTTCTTGTGTTGCACATCGAGATGTAGACAGTATTGTTGGTTGGCACAATCACCGAATTGTATCGCTTCATTCTGAGATCCCGAGACTGCGGGTATTACCACTCCTATTGGGTAACGGGTTCGCTAACTGGAGACCTAGGACTATTGTTCGGCCAAGTGATTGGATGTTGTTACAACCCCAAGATGTGCAATCGTTTGTTGGTCACAAAGACCCGAAACACGGAACTCGTGTTTTCTGCCTGGAAATTATCTATTTTTAATCAGACACTGTTTCTAGGTTATTTTCCTTCAACGTTAACTGTTGTCACCATTTTCCGATCGCATTCATGCCTTCTGTGTTTGTTGCGCTTGGATGATTTTACCGACAGGGATAGAAGCCCTAGCTTTTGCTAATGAAACGTGGTGACAAGAAAGAGCTAACTTTTCTCTCTCTTTTCGATAACTCCCACAGCAAAATTTCCAAATTTCAGAAGTACTTCCGTGAGACTGTAAGTGCGATGAAGTCGGCCGCAAAGACCAAAAGTGAGCCATACGATCTGGTCTCTTCACTTCTGTCCATGTGTCTCATGTTGACGAATTTCACTTTCAGCCAACCCGAAACGGTGTTGTTACTCGTATATGCTAAAGTTGCTTAAGAGATGCTTTGAAATCAAGTGCCATGTCGCTTACTCGATTCTGCTCGGGGGATCTCTGTCTCAACGCTCTTCTGAAAGTAGGTTCTTCTTGACCGTAAAGCTACAGCTGCATAACTTACGAATCTGAATCGAGTGCGATGCAGCCGTTTGTTCTTCAACTTGTTTACGAGGCTGCATCCCTTGACTAGGCACGTTTAAGTTAATGCAGTCATCTCGGTTTAGACGGATTGGATTGACCTTTTATAGCTTATGAGACACCCTACATTGACATGACCTCTGTGCCGTCTCCTTGAGTGTACCATGGGCATATCGATATGGTTGTTCTTTTCCTGTCCCCGTTCGACTCACAGCTAAAATCCTATCTGCGCTTGGATGTACAATGTAGGACACATTCCTTAGAGTGTAGTCAAAGCAATGATCACGTTTCTGGCATTAGCTTCTCGCCCTTTGGCTAGGAGTATATCCCGGTAGATGAAATGGAGGCACATTCACGGACTAGGTAGGGCAGGGTAAGTGGGCCTGCATGAATCAGTAGCATGCCTATGGTATTAGCACCTGTTTGCCCATGTGTGCTATGGTTAGAGTAGACAAAGAGTACGAACGTATGTGTGCACAAAAGCGAGTGGTGATCCGAATCATGATCTTCCGTGTCGCCAGGCCGATACCCTCTGACCACTCACATTTGATGTTGGAATATGCGGTTACTGTTCAGGAAAGTAAATAAATAAATAAATTTTATTCTCGGATACGCGAGGCACGCCAATGAAGGCATGATCATTGTAATGGTACAGCAATTGAACAAAGAATGTGCAGTAATGTAATAGGATTTTCATACATGTGGATCCATATATGTAGGTAGGTGTGTTGCTTGTGTTTGTAACTGTCTTACTGTTATTCCATCGTCAGTGTCTAAAAGAATGTTTGCCGTCTGGGAATTGATAACATTGTCCGAGTAAGCAAGGGCAGGCACTTTATTTAGTAGCGAGTCACATCTGCTACGCCACAGTGTTGTTAAACAGATATATGTGGCTTTTATAGGGGGAACGCTTGCCAAGCGAAAACCCACCCTTTCCTGGAACACTGTTGACGAACTATTTGCCGGATCGGGTCAAACCCGAACCACCCAGCTGGCACTACGAGGAGGTTGTTCGGCTAGCCAGCACCGCGTTCTTTGGTCTTTGTCTCACTGTAATGCGAATGCCACTCGTAATCATTAGGGTAAAACTTTGATTCTCACACCGAAATACGGCTGTAGGTGTTGTTCGAGTTGGCATTCAGTTCGGTTCATTTAAACAACTACCTTCTAAGCACCGAACTTCTACGAATCCATCTGAAACAACCTGCGCCGCCTGGGGAAATGAGGCAGAACGCAACATTAGTATAGAGGGACAGGAATTAGGAAAAAGTGGATCAGGTGCGCCACTGACTTGCTGCTGACGCCACGTCTGATATTGCCACCAATCACCTGTGTGTGAGACCCTCATCTACGAAAACGGTACGTTCCAAGCCTTTCTTCATGCTTTTCCCTTCATGTATTCGCCTTTTCGCTCAATTCGGTGCGGTGACTGTACTCCGAGATAGATGGTCAACCGGCATGCGAGGACACGACCTTGCCAGCGTAAGCGGTTCAAGTTTAACACACTCCAGTGAAACACAAGTTTTTTGGTAAACACCACCTGGGGGCGTGAAGCAACGTGTGATGGACACTGTGCTCACTGTAACAGGTCAGTTTAACTAGATCGGAGGCAATGCATAGCTCGCAGTCCAACAGGAATATCGTTGAGTATTTGCGCGTTACGCACGGTCCTAAATGAATCCGTTATCGTAGAAGACCTTTCCCATTGGGTTGAGTGGTGGGGTCATGTTACCCGTTAGCGTCCAAAGACTGTAAATTGCAAACTTCTTATACTCTGCGATAGAAAACATCTGGTCTGTGTACCGTTCTTGTCTTCTCTAGAGGCGGGTGATGGCATAGTTACTCCCACCTTGATACCCTATCCTCGTAATGAAGTGCACTGCGTTGCAACTACGCAGCTTGCCACAGCTCCTCACATTATTTGTGGATCCATAATCGAATTCGTCGGTTCAACACTTGTTGCGCACACCGTCTCCCCCTCTCATCTACGTTAGTATGACTTGCGAGACCACTCGTGCGAAGCAGTCGTGAAGAAGTTTGAAACTTTAGGTTTATTTTTACAGTGATGTGAGAAAGGGATGGCACCGACCATATTCATGTCCCATTCGACAGATTTAAATGCCCGAGTTCATGCGCAATTATGCCTATTGTTTAAAAGCATACTTCGCTCATCTTCTATGCGCCACGATCAATTGCGCGACGGTGCTGATTAGAGGGATCGTGTTGATCAACGTAAACTTATAAGCGATCCATATTTGAAGCATTTGTATGATTCCTGGAAGGGGACTCAATATATAAATAAATAAATATTTTATTCTCGAATCTATCGAGGCACACCATATGAGTCAAGATCACAATTTTACGGGCACTTATTTGTCGCAATAGTCATGTTGCGTTGAATGCAATGGGAAGATGGCTGTAGATGGTTGCAGAAATAAGAAATGTACTGGTGGGGAGCGATATCGTTGGATGTGACCATAGTCTGGATTCATGTGTGTGTGTGTGTGTGTAGTGTAGAGATCAATATTAGAAAGGTATAAGGTGTAATGGTGATGAAATGTGCAGATAGGGAAGTGGCTTGTAGTGTACGTATCAATAATAGTGAAATGTAGCGCTGATCAACTTGCCAGTGTGAAATATTGGCCTGTGACTTCATTTGGTGGCGAGTCACATCCGCCACCTCGCGGTGTTGTTAGACGGACATTTGTGGCTTTTTATAGGGAGAACGCTTGCCAGCCGAAAACCCATTTGATACTTCTGTCCACAAAATGCAAGACACAGTGCATTACTCCAGGGACTTCCGCATGCTGCTTACATGTGAGTTCTGGGTTTTGCAATAGCAGATCCCCAACCCCTTTGATTTCATTATACCATGCCTCAGAGTTCGTGCGAGAAATCGCGATCAATTATCCGGCTGCAGGGAAATTTAACCAACTCCCAGTCGATTATTCAGCTAATTTTACCCAATTATTGTTGTCGCATGGTTTCATTAGCACTAGCGGGCAGTCGGCTTCCCTTATATTGTTCACCTCAGAATGTGCTCAGTGACCGCACTGTATTTTTAAAACTCTGGCTCTTCTCACCTAAGTACAATTCATGGTGTTTCTCTTGCGAACCAGAAAATACGAAGGCGAATTTCCGTGGCATATACCTGTTAATTAATTTTTTACACGTAATCTTGATCGTAGCTGAAAGTCACAGCTTCATTGCGAGGTCAATCAAGCATGTTCCTCGGTGCGACTGCCCATCATGAACTCCCTTATTTCCAGCTAACAAGATATCTGTGATTCTTTTTATCAAGTGGCCCTTAGTACATCAAAAAGTCAAAGTCTGGACCTCGATCAGAAATTCGTTATTCATAGAAGGCAAACTACTCTTATATCTCGAGGCAATTAGAATTACTCACAGATGCAGAACAAATCTTCTTCCTATTACCTTCTTGGCCAGCGTTCGAGCTTCGTTCAATGTGGATCCAAATCAATTGCATGCTATCCTACAGTTCGCCTCTGCAGCGATCGACCAGCTCTGACTGTTGGCCCAAAATAATTAAGCTCGACCGATCGCTAAACAACGGGCATCTAATTGTAGTATCTTACCACCACACTTTTCACCCCCTATGTAGTTAGCTTAAGAAACTGCATGCCCATTTTATGCGAAATACAAAGTCATCTTTTCATTTACCCTCTTGTATGCTAGTTCCGCTCTACCGTATCCGCCGCGCGCTTACCTACCGATCTAGTGAAATTCATCCCTATGTGCAGGACCGTTTGCTTTTGTGACATCTTTGCGCATTCAATAGTTTCTTTCTTTTATACTCGTTTGATGTCCAATTATGTTCCCTTTATAGTTACAGTATAAATTCCGACACTGCGCATGCGGGGTGCGCCATGTCTATTTTGAATTCGGATCGTAACTTGCAACCAACGTCATCCCTCATGATCATCTTTCAACACTTGGAAGTATTTAAACCTAACACATCGCTCTTGTCGCTTGAGATGTAGCTGCACTCTTTCTGTTGAAATCTCCCATTCTTACTCCAGTTTTCAGTCAGGACGAAGAGGATTCAGACGAAGACGAAGAAGTTATCGGCAATCAGGGTATACGGGTAGGCATGTGTTTTGTATGCGAGCACTATTCTGGGTGTTTGTGTATAGTTTAATGTTTCCGGCTTCTGGCTAGTGATATTAGAGAACATGACGGGTAACCGGAATTAGTCACGCGTTTGCAATCATCTCTTTGCGGACCTACCTGTGTGTGGTGGCGCCGAGTTATCTCTCTGATACCTCGGCTTATGACATGGATGCTAGAGGTTACTGAGACGCTATTTCGCTGTTACCACCGTTTCTTCGCATTTTTGGCTTTCTTGTGGACGCTGTTTTTGCACACTATCGCTGAATTCTGACTCTAAATACTTTCTTCACAGTTTTCATTCCTACATTGACTCCTACCCTATTCCTCGCATATTGTCCATGAAATCGTCTCATTCAACTGATGACGGTGTTGAGTCTAACATTCGTGGGAAATAATGCTGTACTACCCTTGTTGATGAAGACACCGCACTTCGGCACATCATGCCTTGTGAACTCATCAACTCCTGATACCTTGTTATCGGAGCTAGCAATACTAACTAATGCATCAACTCTACCGCGTGTTTAGCATAACACTCGGTTTCCATATCTCGTCACCACATTCATCTGCTCTATTCGGTAGATATGGACTTTTACCCTGGTTAGCTAAAGGATGAACACCTATCTTATAGAGGACATGCATCCGGAAACCCGACAGTGCATTTCACATTTGCCCCAATTTATTGCTCAATCACACAGTGGGGATTGGTTGCATTTTCTGTACTTCTCACGCGTTTTGTCTCCCAAAAATAAGCCACATGGCTATGGTTAACCCTTGCACCGACAGACACCGTGTGCTTGGCCACTGTACTACCCACCTGGCACTACCTGAGCTACCCTGACTCAGTGGTTTTCAGGCGATCACAACTCATTTTGACAGTTATCTGGTGTGTATTCTGCAGTTGGCCATGTACGATACTTTTGGAGTTAAGTACACTTATTTTACCACGGCTCATAAAGTATGCGGATTAATTTAACCGATACACTTTTGTGAGAGCGTAATTTGTTGCGTCCGAGTCCGATTCTGCCTGTTATTTGCGCTTACCCTCCATTATGTGTCACACGTACAGTGGGCATGTTCATCAGACGCCGCTCAACCACTGCTCCTACTTAAGTATCATAAAATTTTGCAAGCTCATTTTAATAATTGACCCCGCTGGGTATAAAATACATTTACCTAATCTTCCCTCAGGTTACATTAACTTGTGTTCTATGACGTTTCATCCGATTAGGAAACTTTCTAGGGCTGTTCAACAAGACTTGACCAAAACTGTCGCTTGCATTATTCTCCGTCATTACTTCAATGCTTTTTGAGAACCTTCGTTGCAGCCAGACTCGGTCAGCCAGCCATCACACATCCATAAAAGCGCTAGACAGCCGTTTTGTCCTATTGGAATCCACCGGATTCTGCTGGATCTCCAACCACAGACTTGTTCTCGAGGGCTGGCGGTTTAAGCCACTGAGCCATAGATGACGGCTACGGACTACTATGACTGATTACTGGTTACGATATGGTGCGGCTCCTCCTCCAATTTTATGCATGTTATGAATGTATAGAGGACAAGGATGGCCCCCAAAGCTACAACCTTCCATGCAGCTCGCCATCAATCAGGGTGGCATGTAAGCTGCTTGCGCGATCACTGAATGTTAAAGAGAAGAAGGTTGGTTTTTGGCGTTTTTGAGGTGGTTGTTCGCAACCATTCATGTTGCCTGTAGAATCATTACATCCTTGACATCATAGAGCGAGCCGCGGTATCTCGCAGTCAGTGATCAGTCATGATGGTCTATGGGAGTCGTACGTAGCTCAGTGACTCTCGGGAGAAAATTCACGGGTTGGGATCCAGCAAGATCCCATGGATGTGACGAATCCCACTAGGACGAAACGGCCAACCAGCGCTTTCCAGCATGTGGTCGCGGTCTACCTGGATCTAGCTGCGAAGAACCTTAATACACAGGACCTACCCTATTACTCTAGCTTTAATTTTTGACCGAAAAACTTTGTGATTATGTCCAGCAACTGAGTATGCATCGCCCGTGTGTTATGGAGATAGTCACATTGTTGCTCTCGTGTGAATACCCCTCATCCTAGTGTGCTACTCTCACTGTTTTTCTTTCAGTTTGCTGTCGTACTCGCTTATCTGCCTCACCTACAATCCACGGTGTTTTCATTTTCGACTCTTCACTCCGACGCCGTTGTAGCGTAGGTAGCTGTCACGATTGTCATTCTACTTTTTGTTTTCAATTTAGATCCGCTCATCAAGGCATTCCAGAAGTCGTCGAGAGTTCGTGCGGATAAAGCTAGTGCAAGAAATGAAAAACGAGCACACCGTAAGTAGACTTTGTTTTGTCTTTGTACTGTCCTTTGCGTTCCCACATGACACTTTCAATTTTGCTTCTTTCCTTGTGTTTGTTGTTTTAAGGGGGCAATTTGGGCGATGCGTTTCTCTCCCTGTGGTCGACTTCTAGTAAGTTTTTCTGACTGTTTCACTTGTGCACACTGTTGCCTCTCACCATACGCACGCTGACAAGAAAATTTTTCTCTTTCACCCTTTCTTCAATGACACTGTCTGACTTCTCTCAACTCAGGCAAGTACTATATGCGCACAAGAAATACGGAGCTTTAGCTCTAACGCAGTCGTCTTTATCAGTCACCAAAACATAATCTCTTCACTTTTTCTACTCACTTCATGTTTAACACTTTTCGAGTCTGTTGACAATTTTCTGTGTTTCTCCTCCTTCATATTGCACTCTAATTTCACCTATGTCTGGATCCCTCGGGTACAGATAGATGCCGTTGACACTCGAATCTATTTTTTTGGTTTAAGTCTCAAGGTACCAGCGGTTTACCACTACAAACGTTGTAGGTTGGTTGGGGTAATGCCATGTGCCTACACTTAGGAAGCAATAGGGGTGTGACCACGGGACGAAGTGGGTACAAACCAGGAGCTTGGATCGCGATACCTCAGACCCCTATCTTACGTCTCGATCACTACGACAATGAGCTTTGCAAGCGTCCATTGTGAGGATGGTTAGGTAACCATTTTTTGGCTTGAGACAATCGAAGATCATTTTGCTCGTGAAGCGCAGTCTTAGTTTAGACCAGGTCACAGTTTCATTTCTACATTGGCGATTTCGATCACTGTAACTGTATCTGAAGTGACGATACTTCTTAGTGTAGTTTGCTCTTGAGGTTACACTACTGACAACCGATTTCATTTTGGTTTAAAACGCTGCGGATGAGATGTCTAGTAGTGCAGTGAAACCAACCCGGGTCCACGCATTACTTACAACTGGGCTAGCAGGGCACGCGCCCGTCGCCTATGAAAGCGGTTGGAAAGTCAATCGTGTATACCACGAAACCGTCAAATGCTTCAACGACCTAGCAGAACTTAAAATTCATGACCATTTCTCGTGGAGGAAAGTTCAAGGGAGCGTCTCATCCGATCGAAAAACACCCACTCACTGGAATAGTCCGATCAAATTCGTCACTGTTACCTGGTACGTGTACACCGCCACAGTGCCAATAAACACTTTCTGAACTCACCGCTTCGGTGTCCTTAACGGCTCTTTGACTTCATCAAATGGGGCTCAATAAATTCGGGGTTAAAATAGGGCATAACAAACTTTGTTACTTACAATACTGAAACATCCAATTTGAATGATGCTATCAAGGATGGATTTGTCTACCAACAGTTTAACAGCCAAATATTTACCTCTTTCCGCACTGATTATGCCACTTCGACTGGCACCGCAACTTTTTCCTCGGTTAACCTCGGTCATTCCTCCCAAGAAATGTATCGCGGCTGCCATTTGCGAAAGCAGTGAACAGAACAATAGCATTCATCTATTTCAGAGGAATCGCCTAAGCTCAAATAAAGTAAAGAAGTTCTACGACAAATGTTCTTGGCATACTTTCTGGCATACTGTCATTCTTCTGACACCCCTGCCCCATGCTAGTTAACCACTGCACCATGTTCATTTATCCTTATCTAAGAGCAAAACATGTGACCCTGCGTTGGATCACCTCAGCAAGTCGATAAATACATTATTTATTTGCTTATTCAACCAAATTGCTCAGCTCGGTAAACCACACCACAATTTAAGTCATCTGCACAACAGTACCGTGCAGGCCATTTGGGTGGTGCACTTTGCTATATCATTTCCGGCCACTTACCTGTTGCCAGTATCCTACCCTGGCCTCAACCTACCTCAATCTCTGCTTTTTCAACTGCCCAGCTATATTTTCTACTTCCCATGGGATTGAGGGATGATTTGAAGCGGTCCATTCTGCTTCACGAACTTGGACATGCCACTTAAAGCTGTAGTGTGGATCATGTTTCTGCATGGACTTCACGTACGAACACGTGCATCTGCTGTTCAATAACGTGTTTTTTTGTTATATACGACCATTGTCTTCACGGTGCAGTTATTCTGGACCGCAATAACGATCTCGAATGGTGCACTCCGCTGAATCCATCTTACGCTCCCATATTACTGTTTTGTTAGGCCTTCCTCCCTATCGGACATACTTATGTCATTCCAATTGGCACCATTATGGATTTCATCAACAAGCGATGACGATTTTGCCTGGTTGTATTAAATGGAACTGAGCTTCGCTTCGGTTTGCCGTTTGTCTTCACGTTTTGTCCGTATATATCCATTGATCTCCTGTCCTCTGCCTACCATACGTTAACCTATTCTCTGAGTTCTTTTCTGTTCCTGCCACTTGCTTCCCACAGTCTTGCTTTGCGAGGATCTGTTGACCCTTCGTTCTTTATGCTTGCGAACTCGCTCCTCGGTATATGAGATTTTCTTAACCCGTTGTGGAGTGGGATAGGACGTCCCGTTTTATTTGTCACACATGAGGGGCTCCCACCACATCTCCTATGGATACTCTTCCACTTATCATTTCAGGCTACCGCCGGTTACGACCGAAACATCCGCATTTGGGTCCTCCGTCAGTGGTATTCCTACTTCAAACGGTTACAGATGATTCCAAGCAAGTCTGGTCACATTGAAACCACTAAAGTCATAACTAACATGAACAGAAACTCTGTTCATTTTCACTCCCTTTGGATGAACCTCTTATTATCTTTTCACTGATACCACATTGTGCCTTTTTGATGCATGCTTTTGTTATTGCGTCTGACGTTCGGAATCGCGTGACTTAATGGCATGGGCGCGGAACCGGTTCCATTCACATCAATATCCTAACTTTAGGTGTTAACTCCATGGGTTCAAATGCTTAAGACGCTGATTAATTTACTCTCCAAATCAACCGATACCTTTGTAACTTTCTCCAATTCAGTCGGTCCCGATGATAAGGCGAAATTCGCTCCCTCTGCTTGTGGTGGTGAAGCATGTACCGACTCTACAAATGTTAAGAACACATTTGATTCCGTCAGCATAACTTCCAACTCGCTGTCCGCCTCAGACAAGACTGATGTGAGTTCCCCGTTGTTTTTTCAATTGTTTTACTCATGATACTCGTATTTCACCTCCGAGTTTATGTGTGATGTGCTGTGTTGACATTACTACCTGAGTCCACCTTCACTACACCGTCGCTCCATTCGTTGGGCCAGCGCATCCGTTGATTCATTCCACTCTCTTGCTGAGTTCCATTGTGTGACAATGCGGGTCGAAGGTCAATTTATGGCGGGTATGTCAGACGGTCCTGGTTACTTATCATCGCTACCACGAAGTTGACATCAGGGTCTGGCTACTTTTCCTCCTCTGTCTGGTGATTTTATGGTCTTGTGGCCAGATCTATACTTGATTTTCCTCACTCACACTCGTTAGTTTGGAGAACAGTTGAACATTGTTGACTTTGGGTCACATTGCGAACAGACCTCCTCGCCTCCGATTTGCGTGTTCCGCACTCTCGACGAAGTTAGAACTTTCATGTTATTAATGCAAACCAACATTGGTTTCGCGTGTTTTGCTTTCACATCTCATCGGTTGTTTCCTCATTGTCCACTCATCACATTAGACCGGAACAGTGAAACCTCGATTAAAGCGGTAGATTCACCTTCCACATCGTTTCTGCACCTAACTTATCGATTTTGCGCCACTGTAGCATGTAGTTATCGCCTCGATTCCTAATCTTCTACTTGTGTGTCCCAATCAGAAGTGGTTTGTCTATGGTTTACACAGAAGCACCCAACTTTTGACCAGCGAATTCATAGGGGCTAACTTGACTTTGCACCATCCCGCTTTATTCCATCTCGGCAGTTTTTAAAGTTGTCCCGTTAGGCGCCAGCTCGCCTCTGTCTATGCAATTTCCCACTACCCGTTTAGTGACCGATCCTCTGAATACACATATTTGTGTCACACTGCAACCTTCGTTCTCCCTTGCAATCCATTCAGCTTGAATACACTTCCCATCTCTTCCTCATTGTAAGCCACCGACAGTGGACGCTCATGCGCCATTTTCTCTTCCCGTGCTCTTATCTCACCTCGCAATGTTGTCACTTTTGCGGACATGCGGTGCACCGCACCCTTTGGTCATCTTGTCACACTCCCTTCCGCATGGTTGCACACAAAACTGTCATCTCGCCTGCACGTCGTACTTTTCGTTGGTTACCCAATTGGGGACTCAGTCCATGACATTGTACATCTTACGCACTCCGTTGCAGGACAGTGGTTCCACATGCAGTTCCACGCAGACCGGTGTGTCTCTGTGGGGCGGTCCGAACGATTACACCCACCCGTGCGTGCGTCTTGTGAACGAACCCGATTTGGAACGTGGACGAAGGACTGTGTTTCGTGCTCAGCCGCTGCTCGTCTATCGTGGACACGAGGGTGTAGTCACCGATGTCACATGGTCCAAGAACCTGTTCATTCTTGCCACTAGCATGGATCGTCAAGTGCGATTGTGGCACATCAGTCGACGTGAATGCTTGTGCCTGTTCCAACACAACGACACTGTGCCCACCATCGTTTTTCATCCCAAGGTGAGGGCTCTGTTTGGCCACCTGTTCCACTTACCAGAATACGAATGCTCAGCTTTGTGTGTTGTAAGCCACATGACGTTTCTGGCATCCCCTTTCTTTCTCCCATTCGTTTACCTGTACTTCCTTCGACTGTGACACATGCATCGTCTATGACTAGTCACGGATATGCAACTGCTTCGAAAAGTTCCTACTTACTCCAGCCCCTTTACTGGACGCACTTTCTTAGCATCTGGTTGATGCCATCTTTTCACGTTTGCCGCAGGTGGTCACGTTGCATGTGACTACGGACCGGCACTTCGTATGCCTCATCATGTTGCTTCGTCTGCATCATGCCAAACCTGGTGCAGTTTAATTTTATTGGTCTACATTGATCCCACGCATCTTGCCTATTGATCTTCCCTCATGTAAAGTACATATTGTTCTGCATATCTTGACAATGGATTAAAGTCCTTCCCTCGTGTCTCTTCCGCGATACCGACGTGTACTCAAAGCTGTACTGAATCGGGGTTTAAGGGATGTCCGGATCAGGTCGTTGTACTGTTGCGGTGAACTGAGATCCGTGCGCATGCTTCTGCACTGCTTCCGCCATCCACCTCCTTAGTAACCTAAGTGGTTTTCCATAAGTACGCCAAGGCACACACTACCCACTTGCATCTGGGTCAGCACTCATACAACATTCAGCTCAAGCATATGGTCGTAGACTTCTCCTTCCGATACTGGTCCATCACGCCAGCTCTGTACAGATCGCTTAAGTTAGCAGTGATGTCGCATCTGCTTGGTGTCTAGCTCAGTGACGATCGTGCTTTATGTCAATCACGCTAAACCTATAACTTGTTTTCCCCGTAATTAACTTTTGGGGAAACATGGTCACTGATTTAACCCCAATATTCTTCACAGTTGGCATGACCTTTAAACATTATCTGTTCAGTATGAAGGACTCTTCGGGTGTCAGGTAACTGATGCCTAGCGTACCTCGCTGGATCACGGTGGTGGACAACCCATCGCATTGCATTCAGACTTGTGTTTCCCAACTTCTGTCTGATCGACTGTTGAGACAACATGCCACAGCAACTCATTACTTCTTGGGCTACCTTCATGCCAGGCATTCTATTGCCGTTTTCTTTCACTTCGTTTTGCAGGATGTTATCGAGTTAGCCGCTCTGATACATCCGGTATCTCATAGCTTGCGTCGCGATAACACTTGGCTTTAATGTGACGCGATGATTTCAGCACCTCCATTTTCCAATGATCTGCGGGACACCACACTTTCCTAGGACCACTCATAGTAGCAGATCAATGGTTAACAGTTAGGGAGACCCAGTCCAAATGTCCCCTCAAACTTAGTTATTGCAGACAATGGTTTGCTTGTCATAGATTCAGGGGCATTAGCGTAGATCATAGGAAAGCAAAGCCCTTGCTCAGTGGCTTACTGCTGGCGGTCTCAAGCTACGCCGATACGAAACAGTAGGATGCACGCACACCAAAGTCTCACCTCTCTTTCACAATGGTCGCAGATGCTTTGTTATGCACGGTCAAGAAACATGTGTGCGGATATTCCTAGACCACTTGTGATCAGTCTGGAGCCTTCTAATTATCCTCTTTGATTAATCCTGATGATTCCTCCATTATTTCCCCTTATACTCATTAGGATGACAGGTTCTTTCTCTCCGGTAGCCTGGATGGTAAACTTCGGCTATGGAACATTCCAGACAAGAAAGTTCGTTTCTGGGTCGAAGTCCCTATGCCAAATGCCTTACCTGTAACAAGCAACGCCACTGGGAGCTTCACTGTGTCCAGCCTATTCAAACCGGCTTCCGCATCCATTTTACCAACCGCCTCTCCTCTTGGAGTGACCTCACGGAACCTTGATCCTAAGACTATCATCACCTGTGCCGCTTTCGCGTGCGACGGGACGAAGGTGGTTGTGGGCACCTATGACGGTCGAGTCATGTTTTACAATAGTGAGGTAAGTCGGGATTTACTGAGTAGAACTGCATCTTTTTTAGAAATCGGATTTCACTGTCCTTCACATTTGCTTCCATGAACCGCGGATATAGCAACTTTTTAAACCATCCTTGTTCACAATTGTGCTTTTGAGACATTTTCTTCAGAATATTTCGATGTCCACATGCGAACTACCATGGACACCTTACTGTGGTGTACCGTGTCGTTTCGACTCCGCCCGTACTTTCAAGGCCGAATAGGCGACCCGTAGTGCGGTGGGTCGAGTGCATAGTTTGCAGCCCATGTGTTCCGGATTGGAATTCGGCAAACATACCGACGTACTACTGCTGATACTGGGACTCAGTCACAATGCTTACTTTGGAAACGTAGGTTATTTTCCTGTTACGGTTTATCTATCGGAATCTCTATCATCAGTGTACAACTGATGGGCAGAAGTTGCCCATTCACCATCTGCTTCTGCTGTATCGTAGGATCAGTTGCTCGTCCTTCCGCAGTTGGGATCCGTTAGCTGCTTTTCGCTGCATCGAACACGCTGCTGCTTGCATGCGTGTCCACCCCACTCCCCCAAAATTCTACCAATGTTCCCACCCTTCTATGCGAAAGTGTCCCCCTTTTACCTCGGTTGGATATCTTCCCATCGTTTGTCTACCCTGAGGCACACTAGTAATTTGGCTCGGCCATGCATCAGCGCAATTTCACGGTTTCGTAGGTGAGGGTGGCGCCACTAATTTATGTGTAGCCGAGGGGTTAACCATACAGCTACTTGATTGACCCATTCTCTTCCTTGGTGAGTCCACAGAACAGCGATCGTTCGAAACATTCTGTACTCACACTGTATAGGTATGACGAGTTATGGGTATTTTTCGCCGTTGCTTTATATAGAGGCTACTTGGCACTTGGATGGTCGATACTGGACACCGTTGACGAGTGCCACAACCACAGTTCCCCTCATCTCGCTTAATATCTTTCTGAAACCTTGTGACGCTTACTCTTCTCTCGTAACTTTTCGCTAGCATCTTTCGAACTGCTCCCTGTTGTCGCGTGTTTACTCCGCATCGTTCACCGGTCTCCACTGCACTATTTTCCAGATCCCATTGCTTTCTGCTTTCGTTTTTCCATCTGAGACAAACCTGGTGTTGACATTTCGGTGTGTTTCAATGGTTTAGTGAATCATGTTGCACTTTAGTTCGCGATAGTATAGCACAATATGCATAACGAAGTGTCATTAAATGGTGTGATGAAAACAATCCCGAACCCACGATTAACGTTTGGTTTGCTCTCACTGGTTCCGCGATCTTCATATTTTCTGGTGGACAACATCTGTTATTTCAAGATCGGGTAAGAATTTTGTTCTCGCAACACCTGCTGTCACGCCCGATGCCATCGCGGGCACGATACTTAAGGTCTTACTGGTGAATTGATCGGGGCAGTTCCTACTGGAAGTGCATGATCGAGCATCTTTCTCTGCACTGTCCAAACACACCCTAGAGGATTCATCAGTCTGTTCAGTGCCAACTTTGCTTCCCTTTCTTGTCGCGCTCTTCTCCCTCGTCTCTTTTGTTCTCCATCTCTATTATAGCTCACCTACATTACTTTCATTGCGATCAAAATGGGGTCAACGAGGAAGGGTCGACATTGTCGAGTAACTGCAATCGAGCTCGATCCCACTGACTCGAATAAAGTAAGTTTCTGATGACAGACGTCTGTAAGCGCTTTGTTGTTTGTTTGAGGATGAGAATCTATGGCGTTTAGGTACTACGCCTCAGTGTGTATTGTGTTTGATGAACACGACTCCCTTTGTTGGACAGAAAATCAGCTAAATCTAACGACTGCGTGAATAGAATGGAGGGAGTAGAACTGCCTAATGCCTGGCGAGCGGTCTTAAGCCGGCCAGCCTGACGAGCATCACTGCGTGGATCAGATTGGAAAGTGCAAACCGACTCCTGTTGTCAACACTACGGGCTTATCCGTCAATGCAATGACGCACAAAGGAACCCTGGATTATTCCCACTGTGATTGGACCACCTGAGGTGACATCACGAACTGTTACTGTAATGACACCTTGGCTCAAGTCTCAGGTAACGCGGTTCTCGCCCTTGTTCGCCATGAAATCCCATCCCAATTGCACGCTAATTCACCTGGTCTAACGAAGCTCTTGTGTCGAGGGCGAAACGTTACCCAACTACTATACCAACCGATTGTTTCCAAATCTCTCTGAACTCATTACTACTCGATCGGTTCCAAGTATCTTCCAAGAATTTGAGAGTTTATATTTTACACGCGAATGGAGTCTACTTGCTTTATCAGTGCAATTCCATATCAATCTGTCAGACGAACCATTGGTCGTGGGTCCTGAGTTGGTCACCTGCTTTCAACTAAGATTTCATGTGCTATCGCGTTGTGGTAATAATGCACTGTTTGATAGCATGGGAAGCGCTGTAGGTTGGCATTGGTGCATTAAATTATTAGGTTGGTAATAAAGACCTTTTTATTCAAAATAAAACCGTTTGGTTTGATGTACTTTTGCCAACGGGAAACAAGTTTATTTATCCCGGATGAATAAAATTCCGAAGTTCTAGTGGCGGTGAAATCGTCGAAGGCGGTTTCAGCATCTCCTTGAGTTTTAAAGCTTTTATCTCGGAGGAAGTTATCCAGGTGCTTGAAAAGGTGGTGATCGGTAGGTGAGTGGTCAGGGGATTATGCTGGGTGAGGCAAGGTTTTGTAGCACAGCTCATGCAGCTTCCGCAGGGTTCTTTGTGAGACTTGCGGCCGAGCGTTATCATGGAGATGAATTGGTTCTTTTCGATTGACCGGAACCGCGCACCTGTGTTGAAGTTCTCGGCGCATTTCGACAGTTTGTTGACTACTTTTCGGCTGCAATGATTTCCTCTGGATTCAGAAAGCTGTGATGAATCAGACCAGTCGCAGACCACCAAACAGTCACCATAACATTTTTAAGTACAATTCTGGCTTTGAGAAGTGTTGTGGAGCTTGACCGTGGTCCAACCATTGATTCGTCGTCGATTGTCCTAAAGGATCCACTCTTAACAACATATCGCAATCCCGCCGAGAAACGGGCCGTTTCTGTTGCTCCGACGAAGGGCCGACGACACCTCAAAACGACGATTTCTTTGGTTTTCATTCAATTCACGCGGCACCCACTTAGCAAGCTATTTTCGACATTCCGATCTCCCGTAAATGTTCCAAAACTGTCACATGCCATATGCTAAGTCATTAGCAATATCTTGGATAGTCTTACGCGTATCCTCCTTAACTAATATTCTTTACTGATCGTTGTTCATTTTCAATGGCCTTCCACAACGCTCTTTATTTTCAAGCCTCTTGTAACCTATTCGAAATTTTTGCAACCACCATCGTACAGTACGATTACTAGTGGTTCCAGCACCAAATACACTGTTGGTGTCATGGGCTTTTTCCGCTCCATTTCGGTCAAGTTACAATTGGTACAAACAGTCTTCTATTCACGTTGCATTAAATGTTTCTGAGCCAAACTATCACTATTGCTTGATGGAGCGCAAAACAGGCTTCAAAATGATATACAAACTCAAAGTAACTTATTAAAAATTATTCAAAGACAGCCGTTTAAATAAAAATATAAAAACCGCAACAACTTATTACCAAACTAATACAGGAAGTGGACCTCGGTCCAACTGATGCACCGGCATGCTGCGTTTGAAATTCTAGTGCTGGCAGCGGACACTGCGAAAAGGTGCACTGAACCGACGTCCCAGGATCGGTCATGAATCTTGCCGGATGCACCCTTCCAACAAGAACCTGTCGGATTTTCTCCTGTGCTTATTTATGTAGAAATCACTATGATACAAAGCCTGGTGTGGCTGTGTTTATATACCAAGTTGGTGTTAACGTGCTTTGACATACACGAAACCATTTCTGAAACTGTAAACGACCCATAAAGTGTTGCATAACTTGTCAAAGACGCTTTTACTTCGTTTACTCTCACTCACTGTTTTCTACAAGACTTGTATTCTACTCAGAGGTCAGCGCCGCTTCTACATCCTCCAGTTCTGGACATTTCATTTCGACCTTTCGAAATCCTTCGATCTATTCCGTTCATCGGCATGTTTCTTTGCTTGTACTCTACAGCATCGCTCTCGGCTACAATCATCGCTAGTGTTATTCATTGCGGCGGCTGAGTTCTGTGTGGCATGGCCTCCTTTTCTTGTGCACTCGGCTTACAGCTGTCAATCCAATCTTTCGTGTTTCATGCAAGATCGCCAGCTGTACGTCGTAACGGCGCTTCGCTACCGCGCGACCACCATCAGTCGCGCGCGGGCTGAGCATACCGCGAGGACGCCCACTCCTACGCGGATTCGAACCGGTGACCTTATGGTTGTAAAGCAGGCGCGCAGACCACTCGGCCACCGTCCGACAATATGCACATGATGCGGGTGATATATATATATATATATATATATATATATATATATATATATATATATATGTAAGGTGGCGGCATCCGGTTTCGGATTTGCCTGTCACTGTGGCAAGCCACAGGACGCCTGCGTCTACAGAGGGACCATGCGTTGCTTCGCTGCAACCACACACCCCATGTCCAGTGTAAACCAGAAGGAATAAGACCGGGAGACCTGTGGATGGGAACCACGCTTCATCAACGGAGCTGGTCCACACTCCTTCACACCCAAACACAAGCACGCTGTACTTGAGGAATCAAGCGCACACAAGGCAGTGGCTGGACCGTAGTCCGCTCCACACTGACTGCATGGAACCACTCTTCAAGCGTAGCACGGTCACCAGGACCGTGCACCCCGTCCCCTTCAGCAACGCCCAACTGTCTCCTGGAGCCAGTATGGATGGCGCAGTGGGTAATAAACAGGTAGGCACCTTGTCAACAAGCACATCAAGTGCTGTCACACCGGGGAATATCAAGCAAAAGCCATTCATTTGAAACAACAAGATGAAATAAAATAAATTCTATTATGCATACGGATACTTTGGCATAACTTTTCGCTAAATTACCATATGAAGTAAGTTGGTCAGCAACGAATCCGCGATAAGTAAGAAATGTGCACAAGTTAATTAAAAATGTTACAAACGCAACAAAGTTACCGAAGATAAGCGCAATAAGCGTAAGCAACGTGGCCAGTTAATAGAAGATTATTCAGTTAGGCAGAACAAACCAAATAACGTGGAATGAACTTTATCCAGCCTAAAACGACCTAGTTTAAGTGTAAGTTGATTTAGCCCAACTGCGGTGAAGATGCGTTAAGAATGCAACATCAGCCTCAGCGTTGGTCACTTATATATATATATATATATATATATATATATATATATATATATATATATATATACATATACATATATATATATATATTGCATTCTGTGTACATTATTGTGCCATCAGGACCATGGCGCAATATGAAAACAGGAGTAGAGTATAAGAAGAAAAACAAACAATTTTTTGTCCATTTTCCACTCAGCTTTTGCATTTTTTCTGATGTTTTTATTGGGGGAGGGAAGGGGAATCACTGCAACGATCACAGATACACCCCCGCTACTGAGTTCGGTTTCGAGCCATGACTTTCAACGTTTCCAACCAACTGCACCCAGCATCCTTGGGACCCCATCCAGAGAGTCAGGGGGAACCAACCGAAGCCAGCTGTTTCGTTCGCGTTTTCATCCTGCTTCTCCAAGTTGTAGGCTGTCCACCACGCTGCCACCTCCAACCCTGTCCAGCGACCGCGAATGAGGCACGACACGAAAGACGCTGAACGTGCATACACAGTACATGTCCGAGCCATCGTAGTTTGCGCAGCGAAACAAGCGCCTCGAAGGAGTTGCTGTTTCCATCCAAGACACGCTGTCTGACTTCCGCGTCGGTTATGTGGTTCAGCCACCACACACGGGCGATGGACCGCAAGCAACGATTATCGAAAACAAACAGTCGGCCTGGGTCATCGGTACGAGCAGACCAACTCTCGCAACCGTACAGCAGTACAGCGCGGAAAATAGCACTATAAACCCGTCCTTTGCTGGATAGACGAATGTTATGGCGGCGCCATAAATGCCTCATCCTGGAGAAGGCGAGACCAGCGCTTGAGATATGCGTCGAAATCTCGTTCCCAACGTTAGTAACGCTGCAGTGGTTTTTAGTTCTCACTGTGCTTCTTTTATCGCCGCGAATGCGTTGCAGGGATCTGTTTTACAAGCGGATAAGATGTTTTGTTCTTCGATTTTATCTTTATTCTACTTTTAGTCATTCAACAGCAAATGGTATCTTAGTTTCTCCAGCTCCATCGGCATCCATTTTCCGTTGTTATTTCAGCTCCATTGGGCATCCACCCTCATGTGGTTCTCTTCCAGGACATCCTGGTTGTGTGAATTAACTGTTTGACATACTAAACACGGTTTTCTGATCGTCACATCGACTTTTTGGACATCAAGACTTGGGTCCGGGGTTAGTAGACTCCACAAGATCGCATGTTTCTTATCTCGCGTAGCATATCGCCCACCTATTTTTATGAATTATCCGATTATTTGGTAACAGACGTCATTTTGACTGACAAACCCCGCATTGCTTCAGAAGTGTAGCCTTGTTTCGCAACAAATTGAGAATAAACGTTATTAGTCCATTTACTTTAAGCAAAAAGCGACTTGATGTACAATGGTCCTTGCCGTTTACGTGAATAACCGTCTTACTACACAGCTCTGTTTTCTGATTTCGTCTTGGTGTAAGATAAAGCTTAGTAGAAGTTTTCGGCTCTTTCTTGAAGTTTTGGTGACGTCACGTTACATCTGGACATGCTTGCCAGTTAGTGGAACCTTTGCTGGCTATTATCTTTAGTAGCTGGTCTGGCCTTCTCTAAAGCGAACTCCCTAGGCCGGATCTGTAACTGCGGTATGAGTTTCGGCGCGGTTGTACTCTTATTACACAATTGTTCTTCGAATACATTCCGTGTGTCATGGTTCTTAACTTTCACTGATGCATAGTTTGGAGGCTTTGATGAGCGACTTTGCATTCTGTCTGAATCGTGCGGAATTCTAAACATTTATCACTCCTCATCAAAACCATCTGCTTCCTGAAGCCACAGCCCACTACTGATATCAATTTGTTACGTCGCGGCCTTCTGTTAGTCGTATTCACACATTCCAGGCTGAGCTCGCAGCGTTTCACCCATGTCCATACACCCTTTTCACCACAGTTTATTGAGCGAACTAACAACTCCACTATTCCTCGGTCTTTCGAGACCAAAACTGGGTGTATTCCTTGACATTCAGCTAAGGTAACTTTTTCTGGGTTAATTCGGGCTGATTCTCCGTTGCTGATTCTCGTTGCCGAACGATTTTCTCCACTAGGTCTGCACCACCCACAACAACGTACGTCCGAATAGCATCTGTTGGCTTCATTATGACCGATTCTGATGACGTGACCGTCGTCACTGTACAACACTCATATACCATACCATTTGTTCTGAATTTTGTGCCCATGTCGTTTCACTGAGCACACACATGATTTTGCGGTTCTATTTCAATTCTGCAGGTTTCCTCGTTCCACTTACATTAGCGGGCAGCACTTTTCGACTCGCACACACTATGAATGCGATTGTGGCATTATCACTCGCTTATGTTACCAGAATCATGTCGATATGTCCTGTCACTGTGTGACTGGCCAGCCGATCCCTTCATTAAATCACTTCTATCTTTTAATGTTGCTTTAGATTCTTGTCACTTCCAATGATTCAAGGCTTCGACTAATAGACGCTCGTGACTACCATACATTGTGCAAGTATCGCGGATTTGTGAATGAAACGAGCCAAATTCGGGCTTCATTCAGGTACGTTCATGGCTCTTTCATACAACCATCCCTGTTCTGAATGTGTATCAGTTACATCGGGAGTGTCCAAGAGCTTATTTGTATTGCCAGTTTCTCCACCCAGTATCCTTCGTGGTATACTTGCGCACTTCGCACTACCGCTCATCGTTTTGACACTATTTCGCTCGGTAGTGTGCTTCTGGATTGACCCGAACGGTCCTTAGTTTCAGCCACACGTTGAGTTCTAATATTTGTTCTTTGCACTTCTGTCACGGGTGCTTATGAACTACTGGCTGAGCGCCCTGGGTATAGGTCTGTTAGTTCTCACTATCTGCAGTCTTAAACTAGTGGTGGCTTGGCTGGCCTTATCGTCCGCCCGATCGTCCCCTGTCTTCATCAACTCCTTACCAGACCACGTTGTCCCGTTTATGAAATGGCGTTGAGATCTCGTAACATATACTAAGTCAGAGATTGCGCGCCCACGCATACCGGATACGTGGGCGTTGGCGTGTGCCGCATGAGATTTATGACCCTCATACAGTTGTTGAACTAACTGCTGGCTGTTCGATCGGATTTTCGTAAACTGCCGCCTGTGTGTAACCTGTTTTACAGCGCCAATTAAGGTTAACGCTAGAAGCGGTGCTAGACGCCGCCTGTTTGTTACTGCAACCCTGATGCAGCCAGAAGCACGTTTTCCCATGGACTTGACGTACTACACACCGTGTTACCAACTCATATAGCTTCAGCTGCAAGCGACATGATCACATTAGTTGGTTATCCGAAGTATAGTCGAGTGGATTTCGGACCTTAATTCCGTGGGTACGTTGATGATCAGCTTTTGCTGCAACTGTGCGCTGATCACCGCCGTTTCCAAGCCACATTGCGTTCAGTCACAGTGGGCGTAGACGTAAGATCTGGATAACCTTGCCCGCTCCGCCTACGTAGGTAATCCACTTCGAAGAGTTCCTATGATCCCTTACTGCACCGGTGACCTGATCAAACACCATCACAAATGCAGAGTCATACAAACAAATTCCATCAACTTGGCTACGTAAGCACGTGGTTTGCGGCATCCGGTTCCAAATGTGCCTGTCACTGTGGCCTCCATATGACAGCCACATAACGCCTGCACATACAGAGGGACAATGGGTGGCTTGCGCCGCACTGCACACAGCTCCATCCACCCACCCCATATCCATTGTAAACCCGAAGGAATAAGACCGGGAGGCATGTGGATGGGAGCCACGTTTCATCAACGGAGCCGGCGCACACTCCCTCACTATGCACAGCAGCAGCAATCCTGTCTACCTATGTGGGAACCACACATACCAGAGGTACACAACGCGGTAGTTGGGCTGCAGCGCGTTCCGCACTGGATGCATGGAACCAAACTTTGAGCCACGCACGGTCACGAAGACCGTTTACCCCACCCCCAGCAACGATTCTCCCTCTCTTGGAGCCATTAATCCAGGTGGAGAGTGTTAGACAGGTAGACATCTTGTCAACATTCATATCAGGCGCACCCACATCGGGGATATCAATCAATAGGCAACATGTGAAATGCGAAAAACCCAATATGCAAACACACGTACTGACCAAATATAACGATGTTGTAGTACACATATCACATCGACCGCCTTCTATTGGTTTGGGTTGGTAAATTGAATCAGAAGCAGCGTACCTACTAAGGGTTGCGCTGATGACTATTACATACTCCTCTTAGATGTGGCCCCACGTGGTCACACTGTTGCCTTACGAGGCCGGCTCGCCTGAGACATTCGCAACCGCTTGTGCTACAACACCACGCGCTTGACGTCGGTGGGGTGGAATCCATCGGCGCCTGTCGGTATTCCAACCAACGTTTCTTTTCCGCACGCAATAGTGCTTTCTCCTGCACCTGCGTAACCCCCCTCTTGATGAGCTTACGCCATTCGCGCCGATCGATTACCTTTGACTCCCAGCACCTGAAGTCAACATTAGTTCGTGGCGAACTCACCTTGATCATGTCCTGGTAACGTAGCTTTGGTTTTCCCATGTGCCGCTTCCCAGCGCGTCGAATTCATTCGGCTGATATGTCCCAGTCACCTCAGGTGCCGTATAAACAGTATGCAGTCCGCTGCATACATGCAGCTGCAACGCAGCACTTTCGTGTCAGCAGCTCAGTCACTCCGGCCGATGCGCATAGTCCGACGCAGGCATTGTTCAGGGAAGCGCTTCAGATAACGGACGTACTTCTGATAAAGCGTCCAGGTTTCACTGCCGTATGGAGGAACGGACAGAAACATCGACTTGTATACCATCAGCTTCGTCTCAATGGTCAACTGACGATTGTCCCACATCCGATTCTCCAGCTTTCCAAATGCAACAGTCGACTTCGATTCGCGGATGCCCACCTCGCTCCCTATCTGCAGGTCGGTAGATATTAAACTCCTATGGTAGTAAAAGCTGGTGGTTTCTAAAACGTCATTACCGATGTGCTTTTGCTGCAAGCGTACGGATTCCATTTCTGATGTAGACTGAAAATGACAGTTTTGCTTGTGTTGATGGTGAGTCCGAACTTAGCTGCTGTCAAAGCGAAAGCCGTCATGCGTTGCCAGTCATCCGCGCTGTGTGCAAAGAACGCGCAGTCATCAGGAAACAGCAACACAAATGGTTGTCTCACACACTAGGGTTCGCGCCCCGGAACGATGGATGTTCAACAACCCACCACCAATACGGTGCTCCACACGTACCCTGTAATCACAAGTAATAAATGTACAAGACAGGGCATGTGCTAAGATACAGCCTCCCTTCATAACAGAGACAACATCTAATTCATCCGAGGTTTGTCCACATAGCTGCACTCTCGCCCGCTTACCACTGCTGATATACAGTTAGTCACAAGCTTACACTGGCAACTAAACGTACCCAACCCCAACCACATTGCCTCATGATTCTCCGTGTCGAGTGCCTTAGTGAAGTCGATGCACAACGAGTATATATATATATATATATATGTATATATATATATATATATATATATATATATATATATATATATTTGCAAAAGTCTACGAATAGACATAATGCCATCAGAAACCATGGGATTCAAACGAAGGTACAGAAATAGTAAAATAAAACACAACACAACAATGTCCATGGTTTCCTCAGAGGGCTAGATACTACCCGGTTGCCCAAGCCGAAGTAGGGTGTTGACTTAGGGGACACCACCCCGAGCCTTTGGCTGAATAGCCTTTCCGCAAGGCAGCGGAGCGAATTCAGGGAATCGCGCCCATTGGGAGCCGGTGACTGATTGCTCAGTTCATACGCCTTTCGTTTGTTCCTTTGTCAAACAGGGGCCCAATGCTCCCCGAAATTACAGCATCAACTTGCTGGAATACAATGCTTCGCCAGGATGAAGCAAGGGGCAGTGACTTTATTTAGTGGCGAGTCACGTTCGCCACGTCACAGTGTTGTTAAACGGACATATGTGGCTTTTTATAGGGAGAACGCTTGCCAGGCGAAAACCCACCACGTCCTGGAACACTGCCGCCGAACCATTTGCTGGAACGGGAAAACCCCGAACCACCCAGCTGGCACCACGAGGAGGTTGTTCGGCAAGCCAGCACAACGTGTACAATGACTGGTGTCGCTCTCGGCATTTGTCCTGCAATTGACGAGCCGCAAACCATATCCAAAGTGCCGCGACCCGAAAGGAATCCACACTGCTGTTCACCACGTTCGGTCCAACGAACTGAGTGAAGAGACGGTTTAGCAGGATACGGGCGATCACTTTCCCCACGCAATTCGGCAAGTTGATGTCACGATAATTCGTGGCACATTGCTTGCTTTCTTTGCCCTTGTACAGTGGTAGTACAAGGGTATCCTTCAAGTGAGCCAGCACTTCCTCTTCAAACCACACGAATTGTACCAAGTGGTGCAGCGCATGTACCGCCGTGTTTCAACAGTTCTGGCTTTATCCCATCGACGCTGGCGCACTTCTGTTTCGCAGCTGAGCAAGCGCCCTCTGCATCTCATCCAGTGTCGGTGTGTCCGCAAGGCACATCTACATCTGCTACTGTTGAAGCCCGTGCAACATAGACCAAGCAATCTCTTAACGGTTGTCCAAGAGACATTCAAAGTATTTTTTCAGATCGGCATTACGTCCACAGCCTGTGTACAGACTGCCTTTAAAGAGTCAAAGAACTCCTTGTGTTGGCGACGTTTGGCGTAGCATTCCATTTGTTTCGCCTTCTCCATCCACCATGCATTTTTAATGCGACGGAGCTCTCGGCTCAGTGGTCGTCGAATTCTGCCAAACTTTCTCTTCTTCCCCACTTCACTGGGATCTGCCACATGTGCAGCAAATGCTGCATTCTTCTCACACACCAATGCGCAAATCGTCGCATTGTTCTCGTCAAACCAATCAGGTCGCTTACAGTTTGCGCGCCCGATGCTCTTCTCGGCAGCAGCTGTCACCTGGTTGCGAATGTGGTGCCACAGGTCGCCCACTGTGGCTATGCACTTCACATCACACAGGAGTGCAGCCATCGCATTCTCCTGCTCAATATCTTTCTCCACAGTACCGAGGGAGAGAATGTTAAATTTACGCCGATTCACGGCGGGAGTGCAATACATAGATCTACGAAAATATATATACAGTTTAATCCGCACCAATTTGTGATCATTGCCACCCTCAGCTCCACGCAGCACACGTGTTATGCGCACTTCATGCATATCACGCTGACGTACGATGACATAGTCGAGCAGGTGAGCGTGACCACTCCGTGGGTGCATACAGGTTGCTATATCATTCACACTCAGTGTAAACCGAGTGTTCGTGGTCGTCAGGCCATGAGTGGCACACAGTGAGAGCAGCCTGTAACCGTTCGCATTCGCTGAACCAATGCCATGCGAACCGATAACATCTGTCCACGCTGATGCATCACGCCCAACGCGCGCGTTGAAATCACCTAGCAGAAATAGTCGGTCGCTCCTCGGCACAGACCGTATCACGGAAGATAGCTGAGTGTAGCATTGATCACGCGTGTCATCAGGATAACACATAGTCGGACCTTACGTGCTTATAAAAGTGAAAAACTTACCTCTTCCGAGTTGTAGGCGAACAGTCATCAGTCGCGCGCTGATGCCTGTTGGTTCACCACCAGATGGCTACTGAGGCGATCGGATGGTGCAAATCTGACTCCGTGTTGACGTAGTGCTGAGGTGGCGTTTCCCACCCAGCACCTGGTTCATGCATCTTACCTTGCTCAGCGAGCCGAGTTTTACTGAGCGCCGCAATATGGATGTTGTAGCGCGCCAGTTCCATCGCGACGATTGCAGTGCGTCGTTCGGGACGTTCTTTCGAGTTCCAGTCCAGTAATGTGCTCACGTTCCAGCACCCGATGCTGAGTGCTTTGTGCGGAGGCATACGGTTATGGTGGCGGGCAATCCCTTGCGTGTTCATCTGGATTGGAGGACCTAGTGGGTTAGCTGAAATGGGGACAGGGAGAATGTGCAGGGGAAAAATAAAAAAGGAAGAGTCAGCGGCAGCAGGTTTTAGCTTGCCCATTTGCTGTATGTTGCAGGTAAAGTGACTCTTTTCCTAGTGCCACTTTGCGACTTCCGATGCAACATGGGTTTATCATTATTCGCGTGATTCATGGTTAGTTTCTGGACTGGAATACTGTCATGGCGTTTAAACCTGACAGCAGAATGACTCATGTCTTCAGCAAAGCCTTCCATCAAGTTTACACCTGAGCCGCTGCGGACCGTGCGCCATGCGTCATTGAAACGACTCACGCGAAGTTGTGTGTGTCCTGGCTGGAAAAGGAGTGTAACCCAAATCCCACCCAGCGGTCCCTACGTGGAGGCGCCCAAGACATGTGTCCACGACGCAACATTGGGAGAAGCGGATCAGCGATCTGTTAGGATCTAACCAGCACAAGGCTCAGCGAGCCATGGACTCTCCTTCATATATGCACACATCTGTATCAGGTTTGTAACTAGTTGACTTGTAACCTTTTTGTACAGTTACCGATTTTTCGTGTTTGCATTTCCATAAGCATGCCTATGCAGGCGTGCTTCGCAATGTCGGGAATAGCCAATTTATATCTATATATTGGGACCGTAGTTGGTCCAGATAGATCACTCGTTAGAGACTTCAGGTGGGTGTTTTCATTCTTGGTCACCTGGAAGCCGCTTTACTCCACGATTGGGTAGGTATACCAAGACTCCTACGTGCGTAACTTTTATGTTGTTGTTCTGAGGATATCGACCTTCTGTAAAATCGAATTTCTGCTGTAGGACACGGTGCTAGCCTTTCAGTTTTCGACACCATCCACTGTTACTGCACCGGACAGTCCATATTCCATAAGTCTTTAAGCGTGTGATGTAACCCATTAAAATAATCCGTGCTAACAGCCAGCGCGATGCGACCAGATCAGTTGTCATGCGCTATCCCGAATGAGGCCTGCGAGCTAGCAAAGAAGTTTGGTAAACTCAGAAAACTGGTAGAAGTGTTGGGTAACTTCGCATACACAACGAGTCCGACCCACTGGCCCCAAGAAATCATCGATTATTGAAGCGGTCACTGACAGCATTCGTAACACCAGTCAGAACAAAGAATGACGACTGGCTAGTTGGATTAGGCGCTTCCGAGAACAGTTCGGTTAGTCCTCTGTCTCTGAGCTTTCTCGCGTCCAGGTGGATAGGCCGAATAATAGCTAACTTACGCACAGACTCCTAATCAATCCATTGTTCATAATGTTGTCAGCATTCAATAATCCCTGCGCTGCTGGTGCGGATTTTCGCGCACCCTCGGTTTTTGAATACATTCATGAAGTGTTTTGCAAAGTGTTGCGCCATCCCTTCCAATACGTATGATGGGAAGAGACTGTCCGAGCCGGCGAAGAGCAGTCGTGTTTATGCCAACCGCAGGGGTGTCAGCGGCACACTACCGATGTCTAAATTACCGCTTTTCTCTCTGATTTCGGAACAGGAATCCCGGGCGAACGAATGCCAAATGGGACGGGGCTGTGACATGTTCTATAGAAGCATTATCCGTATCTCAGGCTAGCCATAACTGCACTCCATGAATTCGATAGCAAGCCATTCCCAGTCACTCTTCCTTTCTAGAAAAAGCGTGCTCATTAAGTTGGTTAACACTACTTACTCTGCACTCGAGCACCACTCATCAGAGTCAGAGTCTATGGCGGTCTGTCAGACGCTTTCCAGACAACAAGTGGTGTTCACCAAAGTTATCCCATATATACTTACTTTCCTCGTGGAACGCATCATGGCGTGTTCTGCTGTGGAACTCTTCCACAGCATAAGTGGAAGCTGGTGGATCGAGGTTATACAGACGACATCATCACGTTCTTTGACAGCTGCAGTGCGACTTAGTTAGGTACAGAGTGGTCCATTCATTCGACATGCATTTCGTACATTCAAACGGTAAGACATCATTGCGGAGCCGCCAGTTACTTGCCCTTCACCTTGATTCTTGAAGGCGGAACAGTTTATCAACTCGGCTGTCTTGGCAGCCGCAATATGAGTAACACACACAGCACTGCTTTCATTAACTCTACCAGACCTGAGGTCTTGAACCTAACTGTCCCCTATACCTGAGCATTAAAGAGAAAAACAAACATACTATAGAAACATGTTAGTTACGTGCAAACAAGTGGTTAGAATAAGATGGAACAGAGACACTAGAAAGTAGGTCTAGGCAAAGTACCGAAAATCAGGTACAGCGGTCTAGCGATAGAATCGGAAATTACCGAAAAATCAGTACAGCGGTCTGGTAGGGTTAATCACACGACGTCTGTGACACCAGAAGCAAGTGTTAGTAGCTCAGGATGTTCATTTGTCAGTTGAACTATCCGCTAAGCTTGAGAGTTTTATTAGAAACATCTCGTCACCAGTGCGTCGTGTAGCCGACCTGAGCGACGCATGAGCAAGTGTGAACTGAGTGGTCACTTGCGTGCATTTTCCTAAATTATCATCAGTGGCTGTTTGGGTGATCTGTCTTCTGACTGGTCAAAGGGTAGGTGACCTTTGACGATGCACTCTTCCATCTATGCCCGTTTACCTGCACGACTGGTACTGTCGCCCCATCTGTTAGTCTGGTATCCTCTTCTCTGACGGTTATTTGACTGCATTGGTGATTTTTTGATCCAGTGAACGATCTACCTCCATGGATTTTCTTGGGGGTCAGTACCTACTAACAAGCTATTTTCTGTTACTCAGTGAAGATGACACCTCGATTGGGGGTGAGAAGTTTACGTTCAAATTTCCAAGCATGATGTAAGGCTCCAGTCGCGAAATCATTTACTCGACACGGGGAGGGATTTTGCTGACCCGCTGGTTGGGCTTCGCGTAGCTCACTGATACCGGACTTGCATGCGGCACTAGCGATACCTTTGCATATATCTCCCAGAAGGATTGCCACTTGTTATTCGTTAATGCTACTGTTTTCTGTGGTGTTAGGTTGATGATGATGTGGAGCGATGAAAGTTGCGAAGACGCTATTTCTCCGATGCAATTATATTGCCGTATAGTAGCTAGCTGTTTGTGGTGGCGAGACGTTGACAGGGTATATTCACCTTGACTCCGAACATCCTCCTAATACGTTTGAGTTTTTGGCCTGACTCCTGCTCTCCTCTCATTTTTCATAATATGGTCATAATGAAATATGAGAGCGAAGCATCTTCATAGGGTACTGATGTTTCGTGACTGTCCTTTGTTTGTCTAGGAATGATTTCAGCTTTTGTGAATTTGGCGGGACACCGTCTGACTGATTCTGTTCATATTTGCGCTGGTCAGGCGAAGCAACCGGATTGAAACTTGGAACCTGGAATCTCGCGACTTTCAGCGGACACTGCTCATTTGTCCATCAGCCCGCATGAACGACTCATGTGACACTGATTTGATGATCATTCTTGTTCATTGAATGCTTTATCAGGTCGCTTATCATTACACCCGAATCATGCTACAAAATCCTGACTGGGGCCATGTGGACCCCGGGTAGAATTAGTTCGAGTTAAAAATACACCATACGTCATATTCTGTCGCATTTGTTTTTATGTATATATTCTATCCCTCAGCATACAGGCATGCCTTAGTGACTTGTAATGTAGATCAATTTGAAGCATCAAGAAAGGAGGTCAATAGTGTTCTTTGTATTTCTCAGGGCCTATATTCCAAGTTTAGAACGCTACTTCTGTGTGTCTCATCAGTGCCGCTGAGTTCATTATGTATGATGTGAACTCTAAAGCACCACTTTTCGCTTTGCCATCGGTAGACAACACCGTCGAGTTCAGAGTAAATGAACTGTAGTTGAGCCCATGATGGTTTATGCGAAATCGCCACTACTCTTTTAACCAGTAATTCGGCGATCCGGGAGCACGACAGGCATCAGTGCAACTCAGCTCTTCGCTCAGCTTGCTCATCCGTCTTGGTCATGCTATCTGGTTACACCGGGGACCCGTTCGACACAGTGGACAGCGCATGTTTGGTGGATAGTCGATTGACCAGTAAAGTATGCGACCTAATCATAGTACGCTTCACGCTACCCATTACAGTGCTAGGTTCGATAACAGACGCCAGCTGACAGCTCGCTCCGTTGATTCCTGAGAGGCGATTGTGGTTTCTTTTACATTGCTTTTGAACCATTTCTGGTGTTTTTACTCTACCTTGAACTGTTACATTGCTAGAGGCGCTTCAATACAACTGTTGAACCATTTGGAGATCAAGTGTCCCACGGCTGCATTGTGCTGTGTAAGCAAATTATCTATGCGTCATCAGGTTTCATTCGCTCTTTTTCAGCCCAACCGGTCGGTACCTTATTTCCGGTTCCGAAAATGCATTTTTTTACATCTGGCAGAAGTCACTGGAGGTCGAACGCATTCCGAGATTCTCTCGCCTTCGTAAAGATCGGAGTGATTGTTGGGAAGCCATCAAAGCTCATGATACTATGGTCACGGTGGCTCTATTCAGTCCGAACCCTAATCTTGTATTAGATAAGCAGTTGCGCCGTTTGCAAATGCCCTTCGGTCGATGCTTGAAAGAACCTGGCATCCAAGGAGTGTCCACTCCACTACGCCTGAGCGAGTTGCCTCCACAAGCGGACCCTCGACGCAAAAATGCCTACTTGGGTGAAGTGATCATCTCGGCTGATTGTAACGGATGTATTCGGGTGTTCAAAAATGCCGCACCCTAATCGCCACGTTGGATTTGCCATGTGCCAAAACCCTCTTTCCCTGCTCGTTTTTCATCTTTTCGGTGATTACTCCCCTCCCCAACAAGTGAATGAGATGCACATTTATACTAGTCATCCAGCAGTGTTCCAACACTTCCTTACCCGGAGATATTTCGGAACGCAAACTTTATCTCTTTAGGCTTTGGTTTTCCCTTCACTCTCCCCACTTACGTATGTCGCCATTGTAGTTGCATGGAATGTCCCATTTACCTTCATTCCTCAACTTTTCCGATTGTTATCTCAATGTATGTTATTTTGACCCCTTTGGACCACTTTCACTCCTTAGTAGACACGAATTGCACAGTTAGTTCCCATCGAATTCCGGCCTTTGTAAGGTGTGACATCCACGATTTTGCGGCTATTTTTCATCAACTCTGTTTTGTTGAAACGCACTTTCAACCACCAAGTTCGCAGCACTGCTCTTCTGTTTTCTCTTTATCTGCCCAGAAAGTGGTTGTCATGTGAACGAATCCACATATACTATTTGCTGACGTTCAACTATCGGAAGCATCACTGATTCTAACTTCCATTTCATGCGGTACACGAGATTGTTTGGGTCTCTTTGCTCCATTGTGTTCCGATTCGCGTCCTCTGTTGACTTTGAAGCAAGCTTTCTGCGCTTTGATTCCACTCCTGTCTGTGAAATAAGTTCGAAACGAATGCCGATATTCCGTAACACAAAGTAATTTCCTTTCTAATCTTACATGCGTTGCCTCTATAGACAATGCTTTAGTAATTAGTGGTCTACTTTAGTAGATTCCAAAACTTATATCTTTCCCCACTCTCATTCATTAGCGGTGTTATCTACAGAAGCGTACTCGACCTTTCGTTCTCCTTGTTCTATATCATCGATATCAGTTTATACCCATGAAACATGGCAGGTCATTTTTATCTGCTGATGACATTAAGACTGTCCATAAGTTTGGGTGAGTTGAACTCCAGAGCACTCTTATTAATTCAGGAGGACATCCATTCCTCTGAGAACTGCCGCCACATGTGGTGGTTCACAGAATTCTCGGTTAACAAATCAGGCATCATGTTTCACGGCTGTTTGATCCATATTGGACCATTTAAACTGAACAATGAATGTATCAGCGTTACGCTTTCCGCTTGCAGACTTTGTTATCCTTCCAATTTCCACTTTTCTGAGCGGGCCGAACACCAGACAACAATGACTAGATGGTCTATAGCTAAGATACCATAACATTCACACAACCGCTGCCGAAGTTGTGTTGTTTAAACTCTACTCGTGTTGCCATCTGTAAACACTGCAGCATCTTACAAGGCAACGTGTGGATGAATGACACACAAAGACCCTTCACCAAACGTCTGTAGAGTGAAGGGTTCACTTTTGACTGTCAAGTGTGTTGCTAGCAACTTCACCTCCTGCAGATTCTGGTACAACAGAAGACCTACTCAGATCTTTCTACCTTAGAACTGCATCTAGCACCATTTTTCTGTTTATACACTTTTGTATTTCAATGGTGTTACTTTATTCCATCCGCAGTGGCGGTTGCAAAAATGTTAGTTCCACCAAGGACCAACATAGCTAATCGCTTCAATTTCTTTCTCATCAGACATATTGTCCTGGAAGTTACCTACTATACACTATCGGATTTTGTGCAATCACAATGATTATGCATCTAAATTGAAGGTTTCCTCAACTCAAACTCGATAATGACCTTTTCATCTGGGAAATCGCTTGATAATTTCTTCTAAGTGACCCAGTGGGAACTTAACCTAACTACACAATTAATGAAGCCAGCGTTAATGAAAACCGTGTGTCTCACAATGGCCCTGCTTACCACAGTTTTTACAATTTGCTGTACAGGCCGGACATGTTTGACAATCCGCTTTGTCTCGAGAACTTCCACATCAAAAGCACAAAACAGTCATATTCTGAGATGGCGTAGAATTCGTGCTCCGAAGCTTGCTGATCTCGAGTGATTCTTTGGTGGTGAACTGACGTGACTGTTCAAGGGCAGTTGTTTTGAGCCTAGCGAGCTCTATGGCTCTATCCCATGAAAGCTTTGAGAGGTCTTCCAAAAGTATCCTTTCTCCTATGCGCTGATTAGTGATGTCGGGCATTAATTGCTGTGTCAGCATAACCCAAATCTATTCTTTGGAATGCTGTAGTAATCACATGTTTTTACTACACGGATCAAGCAGTAGACAAAGTGTTCCAGGGGCTCTGAGTCTTCTTGTCTCGAACGGCAGAATTTCTAACGTTCAGCAAAGACATTAGTTCGCGGGCCCCAAGATCCATCCAATACATCTAACATCTTTGTGAGCGTGTCCACTTTTTGTAGTTCCAGTGCATCAAACTAACGGCCCATTTCCTAATTGGTGACGGATAAGTTCCAACTTTTGGGCTTCATGGTAAGTAGCAGTTGACGGTAGTAAGTCCAAGTAATTTGCAGAAGCTGTTTTCCATTGAGCCCGGTCGCTCTCAGTAGGTTTGACACTTGAATCACATCAGAATGCGCCTGAAGGTGTAAGGTGGAATGACATTGTAGCAGTTCGCAGCCGCGACTCCAATGTTGTGCCCCAATACGCACGCTGGGCCCCTGTGCAAGCGGTGTCTTGAAACACTACGGGCGGAGTCCACTAACGGAAATCGAACACAGGGCGAACACGCTCTGAACACTCGATTCACACAAGTGAGTCAGGTAAGGTACAAGTGTAATGACCTTGATATTGATCCATAAATGACGATCACCCAATCATTTGCAGGCTGTGATGTGTGGCAGACATGACTGGGACTTGCGGTAGACGCTACTCACAGGACCAGTGTTCCATTCACTCGGCAAACCAGTTTCCTGCACAGCTTACAGAAATAACGATTTAGAGGAGCGGATTGTTGGGCTGTTTTGGTGAAATCATGTTGTTCACATCAATCGGCGCCAATCTGTGGAGGTCCTTTTGTTATGACATGGTTCGTGCATTTCGATGAATACCAGTTCTATTGTGGACATGCAATCGTCTACACAAAAAAACTTACGACTGCAACCGAACAAAGCGGGCTACATTCGGGAGGCTATAACTGAAGCACAGGGGAGCTCATCAAGCGGATAAGTGGCAAACAGATGCAGGTCGCAACAGACGTCGGATAGGGAGCAGTCAAATGAACATGAGCTAGGCGCATTTCAGTTGTAGAGAAAGGGGGCACATATAAGACAAAACTTCTTAATCCTTACAGAGCTCGTTTCGTAATTGGTCGATCTGAAGAAGCTTTCTTTGTAAGATGTAGAATGTGGGCCAAGTTCCACCTAAAACAATCGTGACTACGAAGTGTGATAATGAATGCTCGTGTCGAACTTATTGCATTGGTAATCACAGTCTAGTAAACAGTGATTTGCGATGGGGAAATGTGCGCTTGCTTGACAAATCCCGTAGGGTGACCAGATTGAGGATTATAAGACCAGTGGTTAGAAAAGTAGCGTGAAACGGGGGAAATTCAGGTTTTAATTGACTCACAAAGCTATTCACACGGACACTGATGTAGGTTTGCTCACCGCTGTGTTGCGGAAAGGCTGGTGTGCACGTGCGTTGGTTTGAGTTACTTCGTATTCTGAATGAAACGTAATGCAAGTGGAATAGTGTGTCGTCAAAGCGCACTTTGCAAAGCGTTAATGTTGGGGCCAAAATTAAGTGATTTGGAAGGGCGTTCCACGTTCTGGATTCCCGAGGACAAAAAACGTATTGCCGACTATGGTGTGTAGCTAGTTTGAGTTTGTGATTCAGGTTTGTACTGTAGCTGAGTTGCAGCAGGTCGCAACAGGCGTGTTTTGTGTTTGTCAGCATTAGGTAAACCAAAATGAAGTCCACTCGCTGACGCCGATATTCGCCGCTGTACAATCCCAGGGCTTAAGGTATGTGTTTGTAGGTTACGTGGAAGAAAACTTTAACAAATTACATCGCTCTACGTATCAATACCATGTTTGCTCCAGACTTGGATCGCACACTCCAAGTGGGGTTTCGTAGGCGTCTAGCATTTACCGCAAGATAGATGGCTGGAACTTTCCCAAAGCCCCGTAAGAGTTCAAGGTGCTGACTGGCTCTTTTCAGCCTGTTTCGAGCAACCAATGTCATCCTACACGATTAACCCGAGGTCACTATCCTAAGAAGCACTTTGTAACTGATAACCCACAAGTCGATATTCATAGGAAATTTAATGGCGTATGCTCACAGATTTACGTTTCGCCACAACGAACTGGAGCTGATTTTCGGATGCGCACGTATAGGCCCTGTCAAAATATCTTTGCATTACTGCGTGCTCTTCCTCTGTATTGATGTCATACCAGAACTTGACATGATCTACAAATACTAAGACGTCCGATTGTAACACACTGGCAAGATCATTGGCGAATGCTGGAAACATACATGGACCCAGTACCGATCCTTGGACTTCGATTGCGTCGGAAACGGAGCTGCGGACTCCCACATTCAGCTGACGTTGAATTAGTTGCTTACCCAACCTAGCACAGGGTCACCGATACCATACCTTCGAATCTTGTAAAGGAGAATGCGGTGGTCAAAGTGGTCAAACGCTTTAGAAAAGTTCAGGTAGACGACGTTGACTCACTCTGGCATCTACTGATTCCGTCCAGCTTGCTGGGGCTAGCAGCAAGTTTGTGCAGGACCGATATCAGCGGAATCTGTGTTGCCATGACACTGTTGTTGCTCAAGGTATTCCATGGGCTCCTCTGCGATAATGCCTTCCATTACTTTGAATAGCACCTGCAGGAGGGTGATTGTACCGTAGTTCGAGGGCCCCGCACGATTCCCACTCTTTTAAATAGGAGTGACTCCCATGTTTCCACATGGTCGGAACCTGCGTATCATCAGGACATCATTTAAAGAACCTATCTGGAAGTTCGGCGATATTCAAGCCGGCTGTCTTTAATACCTCCAGTCTTAAGTAGTACACGCAAGAAGAGCTGTGCACCCGCAAGGACACTAGTCTTTTCATCACATTTGCTGCCATGAACCATACGTGACCTAATCCTTTGGGCGGTGGGAGCTGTGACAAAATCGGGTAAGATAACGCTTCGCTCTGAAAACTGCGGATAAAGTGTTGCAGAGGCGCAGAACGCCGTGCAATGAAGCGTGCAGTTCGATCTGTCTTGTGTAACTGCAAAGCAGCTAGGCAGCTTAGTAAAAGGGCCAAAAAGACGTCAACCTCCTCGCTGCTTAAAGGGTTGAATAAGAATGGCCTTTTACGCGACACGCCGTCCGGTACGAGGGTCTACCTCTTCTCATGCAGAAAGTAGGTCTTCGACGCTAACCAACTGCAGAACGAATTTGTGATCACCCAAGTCGGTCAGTTAGCTGGGCGGTGGCCAGATTTGGTGGACGTCAACTTCAATGATTTGAGAGATACCAGGCTCGGGACACTACTGGGGGCCGATGTTCTTGAAGCCCACTGGCAGATTGAACGACGAGATACCGGACGAAAACGACCTTTTGCTGCAAAAACTACTTAGTTGGACATGGCTTGGACCTGTTGGTCGGAGTATTCAGCCTTATACCTACGTGAATCGTGTACAGACAGATGATATGCTACTCGAAGGGCAACCCATGGTCTTTTTGATAGTGGTTTTGAACGTGTTGGTTCGAGTAGTCGGTCGCTATCCGGGAAGATAAACCAGCCCTGTCTATCGTCGAAAGTTCCGTACGCCT